TAACATGTTAACATTGGGTATTTCTAAACTCAGGACAAAACTTAGAAACTATTTAAGCATGGGTGGGGGTTTTTTGGCGGTTGTAGATGCGTAACAGATTCTAGGGGTTAATGTTCGAAAAATTGTGTTTAATTTGTTCATATTTTATAATTTTTATAATAAATTATATAATATGATCAAAATAATGGTATCTAGAAAGACCATTTAAATGTGAGAAAAACTGTGTATAACGTGTGGGTTCAGTAAATGAGTAAAAGGCTAAATTGCAGCTAAACACAAAAACCGCAGAAATGGAAAAATAGCCCTGGTCCTTAACGTTAAGTAAATTGAAAAATGGTCTGGTCACTAAGGGGTTAAGAAAGCATATCAATTAAACTGTGAATAGTTTTCCCTCCCCACACCTTGGTTACCTTCCTTGTTTCATCTCATGCAACAGTGTCATTAAAAAAAAAAACATCCCTTCACTGTTTTAGCAACCTTTTTCTTGTACATAAAAATACATCCTTCCCTTATTTCTTGTACAACTTTACTCTCCCTGTAGAATGCAAGCTCGGTTCCTGCAAATACACGTCTATTAGTTCACCTATAGTACAGCACTATAGAATTTGTCACTTTATAAATAAGAATGAGACAAAAATATGTAGCCATATTCAGAATAACCAGTAGATGGCACTAACCTAACAGGGATTTTCTAAAGAAAAAGCCCTAATGTAATGAATGACAGCGCTATTTGTTAACCACTATGAACATAAATAAGATTATTTACTAAAGTGAGAATTCAAAGTGGACTTCAAATTTAAGGTCAGAGTATCCAAGCTGAATGCCAACCTAACCGAATGTTTACAATTCAGCAATTTACTTAAATTTGAAGTTCACTTTAGCAAATAACCCTACCACACTGGCCTGAACACAAATTGTGGCAAAACCAGCCACCTATTTGTATTCAAGATTGAGCTGGTTCGACAATTTGGGGTTTCGAACAGATTAAAAGGCATTATTAATCAGTCGAACAAACTACCGAACAGCGAGTCCACCCAGGGGAGTCGTGTGCCTCCAACTGACTGTATTCACACTTAGAAACCACAAGATTCTAAGTTGTCGGATGGGTGGCCATCGTCCGTATGACCGAACACGTGGGGACGGCCATCTTTGCTCACGAACAGACATCGGTGCTTGGTCGAGTGCATGGAACTAGAATCAGACACTCAACGGCGCAAACACCGCTGAACTAGCATCACTTCGTGAGTTAGTTTCCCTTCAACAAATAAGAGCGGGATTCGTATGGAAGAAACTACGGAACACAGGGCACACAACCCCTTTTTACACGAACAGTTGCCTTCGCTAATTTAATGATGAATACTCCCGAAAGGAGACCGGTCAAAGCATAAAACCATCTGGAACTATTTTGGGGTTTCACCTTGTGGTTGACCACGCCATCACTTGAATGGCGTTCCTATTCTGAGTGATATTTCAACAGTGGGCGCTCAGATCACTGCTATTCGGTGTAGTTTCTTTCGTGAGTTCTGACTAATATTAACCCCTTAGCGACCGAGGACGGTTCAGGACCGTCATCGGCATTTTTGCCTTGAGGACCGATGACGGTCCTGAACCGTCCTAACGGTCTGGGGGTACTTACCTGATCGCCGTCGTTCCCCCGGCGGCGATCAGCGTGGCTCCGGTTGTGGGCAGACTGCCTGCAGCCCAGACAGTCTCCCCACACTGATTTAGGACCCCTGTGGCCATGTGATCGCTTAACACAGCGATCACATGGTCACAATAGGTGTCCATAGTGCTGCCTGCAGGGCAGTCTCCCTGCTAGTGTAAAATCAAAAAAAAAATAAAGTTAGTGTTAATAAAAAAAATTAAAAAAATTATATATGTGTATAAATATGATATATAGACATATATTATATCTATATAATATATGTCTATCTATCATATATATAATGTCATACTAAGTGTATTTTTATATTAATATGTACTTATATTAATATAAAAATACACTTATAATTAAATTACGCACGTATATATATAATATATATAATAACTATATATATTGTGTATATATATATTATTATAAAATATAAATAATAAGTAATTTAAATTAAATAAAAAATTTTTAAAATAATAAAAAAATTAAAAAAAATTATATATCTATATGAAATTTTATTCTAACTGTATTTTAAAATTAATATATATATTTATATCAAAATACACTTAAAATGAATTTGTATATATATCTATGTATATAAAAATAAATAAAAATAATAAGAAATATACATATGTCCATATACAAAATTACATAAATAATTATATAAATATACACGTAGACTTCAAATATATAAATATATACGTGCGTATTTATGTAATATTTTACATAATTCAGTAATTTTATTGATTGCAATTTGAGGGACCTGCCTGCCAACCCAGGCCGAAATTCCAGAGAATTGAATTTGCTAGCACTGTATTTTACCCTGTAACGTTCTACGACACCCTAAAACCTATACATAGGGGGTACTGTTTTACTCGGGAGACTTCGCTGAACACAAATATTAGTGATTCAAAACAGTAAAACATATCACAGCGATGATATTGTCAGTGAAAGTGACTTTTTGCATTTTTCACACACAAACAGCACTTTTACTGATGATATAATTGTTGTGATACGTTTTCCAGTTTTGAAACACTAATATTTGTGTTCAGCAAAGTCTCCTGAGTATAACAGTACCCCCCATGTACAGGTTTTATAGCGTTTTTGAAAGTTACAGGGTCAAATATATGGGTCAAATATTTTTACATTGAAAATGGCCAGGTTGGTTACGTTGCCTTTGAGAGCGTATGGTAGCCCAGGAATGAGAATTACCCTCATGATGGCATACCATTTGCAAAAGAAGACAACCCAAGGTATTGCAAATGGGGTATGTCCAGTCTTTTTTAGTAACCACTTGGTCACAAACACTGGCCAAAATTAGCGTTCAATTTAGTTTTTTTACTTTTTTCACACACAAACAAATATGAATGCTTACTTTGGCCAGTGTTTTCGACTAAGTGGCTACTAAAAAAGACTGGACATACCCCATATTGAATACCCTGGGCTGTCTACTTTAAAAAAAATATGTACATGTGGGGTGTTATTCAGAGATTTATGACAGATAATAGTGTTACAATGTCACTATTGATAAATTTAAAAAATTTATGTTTTGAAACCGCAATATTCTACTTGTACCTATAGCCCTATAACATGCAAAAAAAAGCAAAAAGCATGTAAACACGGGGTATTTTTAAACTCAGGACAAAATTTTGAATCTATTTAGCAGTTTTTTTAATTCGCTTTTGTAGATGAGTAAAAGATTTTTCAAGTAAAAGTCAAAAAACATGTATTTTTTTCAATTTTTCATCATATTTTTTTATTTTTTAAAAATTAAAATACATGAGATTATATAAATAATGGTATGTAAAGAAAGCCCCTTTTGTCCTGAAAAACAATATATAATTTGTATGGGAACAGTAAATGAGAGAGCGGAAAATTCCAGCCAAACACAAACACCACAAAAGTGTAAAAATATGCCTGGTCGCAAATGTACAACATCGCAAAAACAGTCCGGTCCTTAAGGGGTTAAAGGACCACTATAATGCCAGGAAAACAAACTTTCCTGGCACAATAGGGTTTTTAGGCCCCCTCCACCATCAGGGTCCCACTCTCGCCGGTCTGACGGGGGAGGAAAGGGTTAAACTCTTACCTTTCTCCAGCACCGGGCTCCCTCTTCCAACAAGAGCTACACACTTTCAATCAGTCCGTAGGAAAGCATTTATCAATGCTTTCATATGGACGTCAGCGTCTTCTCACTGTGATTTTCACAGTGAGAAGCACGGAAGCGCCTGTCAATGAGACAGTCACTAAAGGGTGGATTAACTCTGAAACAGGGTGGATTTCTCTCTGAAAGAAACCCCTTGCATGGGGAGTTGCATAAAAGCCAGCTGTGCCAGAATAAAAATCAGTTGACTCCCAGAACGGTGTATAGTCTGGTTATTGGTAGACTGGGATTGTGTTGCTGTACTGCGCTTCTCTTGGATGTTTTACAGTCTACCAGCAGAGATATTGATTTTAATATTGCAGCTCCCCTAAACAAATGCTTCCCGTCCTTGCCAGACAAAACTAACAAGGAAAGGATTGTGTGGTGTGTCAGCATAAAGACAATGTAAGCCTCTTAAAAGGGTTATTCACTAAAGTGATAATTGTCAGCAATTCAAAGTGAATGTAAAAAAGTTATATAGTTGGACTTGAAGCCTTGACACTTTTCTAAATATCAATTTTGTGAATAACCTTTAAAAGAGAATAGGAAAGAGGTTTTTAAATTAAAAAAAAAAAAGTGTCAACTCCCACTACTCTTAACCCTGCAAGTGTAATTATTGCAGTCTTTTTATAAACTGCAATGATTACCTTGCAGGGTTAACACCACCTCTAGTGGCTGTCTCTAGACAGCCACTAGAGGGCACTTCCTGGATCATAGAGAAATACTGTGGTAGAGCGGGCATCGCTCAATTCCCCATAGGAAAGCATTGAAAAGCATTTTCAATGCTTTCCTATGGGCAGCTCTAATGCGCATGCGCAGCATTGCCACGCATGCGCATTGGGTCTCCCCAGCCGGTGGGCGGGATCAGTCTCTCCCACCTGCCGACGTAATGCAGAGGAAGAAGTAGCGACGTGGGACATGTCGCTGCCTCTGGTAAGTCACTGAAGGGGTTTTCATCCCTTCAGCAACTATGGATTGGGGGGTGGGAGGGAGAGGGGACCTGCAGTGCCAAGAAAACGGATTGTTTTCCTGGCACTGGAGTTTCCCTTTAAGCCCTTCTGAACATGACAAAAAGGAACAGTCAGGTGTTTTATCCGTTCAAAGAAAGACCCAACAATCCTTAACTTATGTCTTATGTAGATTATGATCTAACAAACTGGTGATGACAAAAGACAGTAAAACACAATGGAAGTTTATATAAAAATAGTCAGAACTTTAGTTGTAGAGTGACAATTTTCAATTTGTAAAAATGTTTTATTCACAAGAGAGTATGCAAAAGTAAAAAGAATTTTTAAACAGTGTACATGCTGGGTATATACATAAATGAGAGAAAAAAAACATTGTTAAACATATGGGGGTGTCTTATGTTTAACTGTTGCATTGCTAAACAATTACCCATGACTACATCCAAAACACAGGGTTTTCATTTTTCACCCATCATTGTTCATATTCATAAATTTACTACTTTCATTGCAATCAATATTGGGTTATGCTTACCTAAACAATAAGGGTCAGTCTCTAGACACCATAGACTGGTTATAGTGCCAGAAGTCCCCTGGGCACTGCCCCACAGTATGAAGTCAAATAAGTCTTTTAATAGCTTGACAATTACCCATCTCCATTTCTGCGATATCAAACAGGGATGTTCCCTACCCCAATAGGTATATCAATTTTGTCCATATTTTGACAAAATACATTGGCTAAGAGTCTGACACATGCCAAACGAATTCCACCCAAACACTGACGGAATTGATGCTACTAATGCAGAATTAGGAGCTCCCACACTAGTGACATCAGAAGAGGAGGACAGGTAAGAGTCAAGCCACACTCAACAAAAAAACCTTCATGTCCTATGAGATAGCACCAGGTGACTCCTGCTACCATAAAATACTGTAGTGGTATGGTGCCTGTACTGACTATTTAACAAAGCATATTTACATATTTTGCGGTTTTTATTTATCTCAATAAATACTACTGCTAGTTTTGACAATTTGTGACATTCCTGATCTGCAATTCAAAGCATGTAGTACAGTAATTACTAGGAGAATATAAAACCAGATTACATTTCTTACTTTGTGTTTCGTAGTTTTTTCACATTGCTTGCATTTTGATTTATGCAAGTGCATCCGCATAAAGCAACAATGCATTATCAGTTGTCTAACCAATATTCTTATTCATCAAGCAATATTATCAACAAAATCAAACAGTTAGAAAAACAGTGACTAAGTTCTGTTAATGCTTGGCATCTACAGGACCAACAAAATAAATAAATCTGAAACTACTTCTATTGTACATCTAAAGGCAAAACTTTTTTTGCAAGTTACAAAAGAAACCTAGAAATTAAGTACTTCACAAACATTTGAGAACCTTTCAGAATGCAATGTACTGGGAGCAAACAAATTTTTCTCAGAGCAGAAAAAACAATTGTGCTATACATTATGAAGTAAAAGGCATACAGTGTTACGGTTAGACTAAATAGAGGCAATAATCTAAATTAATATTGTACAACATGAAGTATTCCTCTTCCAGTCTGCCTTTTGGAAAGCACTTTTTTTGTATGGTACATTTGATGATGCACATTTGATTAAAAGATGATGCAGGTGCAGCCAAAACAGATATATGCCAACACTATTTCAGAGGAAGTAGACTAATAATCTGCTATATTTTGCAGGTTAGATGCTTTGTACGCAGGGTGACAGATTGGTATTCTACATTAACCTGCTTCCTCTGATGGTACATTTCAGTAAGCATTCAAATTATATATAACACACTGTGGTGACATTTTTACAATAAATCAAATGAGGATTTACTATTTTGGCATTATTTCCCCTAAAACATCCCGTACTTGAAAAAGGGATAGGTAGACCACAATATTAACTTGGGAACATGCACAGCAAATCGTATTCTCCTCCCGACCTCAAATTGTGAACAGTCATTTATAAGTGCTTGCATTTTTAATGCACAGTTTAACTCGCCATCTAATGTTTGCCAACATCTATCTCATGACCTAAACAGATAGCACAAAATGAACTCAACTTCTATACACCAAACATCATAAGAAAACTCACAGATCTCACACCCACTACATAATACATCTACAGAATGAATCAAGTGTTGATGATGTCACAAGATAAGGATGTAATGATATTGGTATTGTGCATGTTTCATATTAGAGAATACAAAAATAGCTCTTTACAATTATTTATACAGTCATTTTTAGCTCTATGGCCAGGAAAAAGCAAACAAATTAAGAACACATTAAAACAAAGCCTTTTTTATTATCCCAAAATGTTAAATTGTTAAAAAAAAAAAAAGTCCAGCACAGCTGTTTTATTTAAAAAAAAAAAAAAAAAGAAAAGAAAAAATATATATAAATGGACATTACATTAATTATGAAGTTTACTTAGGTCAGTAAACAAAAGAACCTTAATGACATAACTGATCAGTGTACAGTACATTTTATGAAGACCCGTAAAGTAAAAACTACTTCAGATAGTTGGTGATTTAAAAATGTACACTTTAAAGCTTCAGCTTCTTCCTTCTTGCTCTGCCATCAGGTGCCCCATCCATCTTCCTTTTCTGTGCCTGTAACAAGAAATATTAGCAAATTACATTCTTAAAGGTACACTCTACTGTAGTCACCAGAACCACTACTACTTTTCAGAGAAAATGCAGGGTTTACATTACAGCCTAGTTTTAACTCAACTAGCGGCCACTCGGATGGCTACTATAGGTGCTTTCTGGGGCAGCACTGCAATTTAGTGTCTCCACCTTCTTCATGGAGACACTGAACTTTCCTCAGAGATGCATTGATTCAATGCATCTCTATGAGGAGATACTGATTAGCCAGGGCTGTGTTTGACATGTGCTGGCTCTGCCTCCTTGACCGTCTCAGACAATCCTATGTGAAAGCATTGTGATTGGCACAGAGAATCACTTCAGATGATGTCAGTCAAGCAGGCAGGTCAAGGGTAGAGGCAGCAACTGTAGACTTGAATACAAGTAAGATTTTGCTATATTTACAAGTGAGGGAAAGGGCAGTGGGTCTAGTTGTGGTTTTAACACGATAGGGTCAAGAAATGCATGTTTGTGTTCCTGACCCTATAGTTTTCCGCTAAATATAAAAATGCATGTTTAATAGTGTGAGATCTTTAGAAGAAAAAATAAAACCAAAACAAACATTTTTCCAATTCGGGGTGGGTGTGGGGGGGCACAAGTTCATTTAAAATTTTTTTACCGATGAAGGCTTTGGTCCTCTCTTCTTTTTCTCAGCTTTCTCCTTTTCTTCAAGTTCAAGATTCTCTCTTTCAATTAAAGTGATTAATGTATTACATCTCCTTTGCAGTTCCTAGAAAATCAAACATAAGTTAAGGGAACATATTGCACAACAAATACTAATGCAAGAATTTGGGAAGAATACACATGAGACACGGTCTCAAACTTAAGCTCACTAAAACGCAGTGCAATGAAACTATCCATCACAAACATGTTCACAGACCTAAACAAGTTAGCACTCACATACAACAACAAAACAACTCCAGAAACAATGAGGAAGATTTATCAAAGTATGCCACTCTAAAATGTGGTCTAGGGGAGGCCTCCCAACCGACCAGATTTCAGCAGGACAGTCCTGATTTTCAATCCCATGTCTGGCCTTTGGGGGCACCAGGAAACGGAAAAGCATAGTGCAATCGTATCATTAGACATAATTGTGCTATGTTCAGCGCAGTGCTCCCTGCATGGTAAGTTCCTGTTGATTGGCAGGCAGCCTGGCATCCATTCAAACCAGGCTCGCCTGTGAATTCAATGGAAGCACTCGCCCCCTTTTTAGGTTGGTCAACCCCCTCCCCACCCTGGACAGAGACAGTGATGTGAATCGCACCACCCTTTTACCCCTCCCACAGGACTTCTGCTTTAAGGAAGGATGTATGGTCCTTAGCCCTGGTGAGTAGAAAGTCACCCCTGGAGGATATAGTATGGGTTGAAGTGGCTAGTAACTTGCTTGCAAGCATAGGACTGCAAATTAGTAACATAGGTCTACAATTTTTAAGCCTTGGTCTAAGGTACTAATAAACATCTAACTAGTGCTTAATAAGTACCAATTTTGACACATGTTAAGAAGTTCATATTAATATATGATAATTTTTGCGCAAACAGCATTCCACTTTCCTAGACAAGGTGTCAAGGACATCCCACATACAGTTGCAAGAAAAAGTATGTGAACCCTTTGGAATGATATGGATTTCTGCACAAATTGGTCATAAAATGTGATCTGATCATCATCTAAGTCACAATAGACAATCACAGTCTGCTTAAACTAATAACACACAAAGAATGAAATTGTTGCCATGTTTTTATTGAACACACCATGTAAACATTCACAGTGCAGGTGGAAAAAGTATGTGAACCCCTAGACTAATGACATCTCCAAGAGCTAATTGGAGTGAGATGTCAGCCAACTGGAGTCCAATCAATGAGATGAGATTGGAGGTGTTTGTTACAGCTGCCCTGCCCTATAAAAAACACACACCAGTTCTGGGTTTGCTTTTCACAAGAAGCATTGCCTGATGTGAATGATGCCTCGCACAAAAGAGCTCTCCGAAGAAGTACGATTAAGAATTGTTGACTTGCATAAAGCTCACATTTTATCACCAATTTGTGCAGAAATCCATATCATTCCAAAGGGTTCACATACATACAGTTGCAAGAAAAAGTATGTAGTTCTAGGAAATCAAACATGCTTAAGATAATCTTAAAAGGAAAAAGAACCTCCATCCCAAACAAGAAACAAGAGCTATTTGCACCTAGAGCTATAAGTTTTTACTGCAAATTAAGACTAGAAAAAGCTATAAACAGTTAAAAATTCCTACCATTGCAGTTCTTGATTTTAAAAACCAATCAAATCTGAATTGGGGAGAGTTCCGTATGCATTGCCTAAGTTCATCGTAGACATTTTCCTTGTCAAAGCCAAGCTTGTGCAGCATGCAAATGAGAAAACGATCTTCTTCCTCAGTGTAATTCTTTCCTTTGTTGGTACCATAAGATATCCTTAGCTGGTGGAAAGGTGCCTTATATCGACCAATCTAAAAGAGTATTTGTGGGTGAGTATATAATTGTGGGTGACATTTTCAACATGGCACAACTTAAACTGCAACACTGGAACAATTCTCACCTTTGTGTCTAATGCTTTCTTAATGCTAATCCGCCTTTGTATCCTAGCTTCTCCTCTTTCTATCTGAGCCATAATCTTTTCAATATCTTGGAGTTCGTTGCATCTGTCCCAGAAAACCGCTTTGAAAAGAAGTGCACATTACTACAAAAGTTCTGCATAAATAGCAGATACATATAACAATTATGCTTATTAAATGCTTTGAAGAAACACTTTAAATTATGTAAATTTAGACAATTTAATTTTCACTTATTTGTTCAGCCTTTATAAAATTATTTGTGAATGAAAAGCTTTAGACCATATGGAAATCAGATGGCCACTAAAGTGTCGCCTATCTCAGTGCTGCACAATGTGCAGCACCTACATTCAGCGTCTCCACGCTCTGCATGGAAGCGCTGCACGTTCCTCATAGAGATGCTTTTAATTGATTTAATGCATCTCTATGAGGAAATGCTGACGGGCAATTGATGATCAGTTATGGAGGCGGGCCAGCTCTGGCGAGACCGGCACAGTGCTGGTAAAAGATGAGTAAAAACATCATACCAATGCGATTGGAGGGGGCTGGTGACCTAAACAGACACGCTGACAGTCAGACACACGCACATACTGACAATCAGATACACAGATTAAGACACTCACAAAGTACAAGTAATACATAATATATATATATATATATATATATATATATATACACACACACACACACACACACACACACACACACACACACACACACACACACAGATTTAAAAAAAAAATTTTTAGTCACCCTCCTGTTGACTACCTTTTGGGCTCAGGAGGGTGGCTTCCCTGGTGCCTAGAGTGATTATGCAGCAGCAAGTGACAGGTTAGTAGGGCTGGCTGCAGCTGATGGGAGTAGGCAGCCGCTGTTCCAGACTCCCTCCTTTCTTCTCCTCACTGTCTCAGCAGCTCTCTCTGTGTGCGCTGGAAGTGAAGGGAACTGTAATAACTTCCTCCCGGCGCTGAGGTCACGCAGAGGAAAGGAGTGGTTGCCAGTGTTCCATCGGCTTTGCGGCATGGGGGCGGGAGTCTAGCAGGGACGGGTATGAAGCAAGGGGGCGAGAGGGAGGAGGGCGGGGAGCAGAGCAGTGTTTACCTGATATCCTGCCAGGTTAGCTTGCAATTCCCCTGCACTGGGATTGAGACAGAAGTAGGAGGGAGCGGGCTGACCAATCCCAGACGCCAGGACAAAATATTTAGTCGCCATGGCGACCTGGCGCCTGGGATTTGTCGAGCCCTGACTTAAAATAACCCATCTGTACAAATATAATGCTGATATTTCCCAAGTAAATAACCCTCATAAGATTGTCTGTGTTAAAAACCACCCATTGTTCCATCTACTTCCCAAAATGCAGCCATGAATTCGGACATGTAAATATATATCTTCAGTGAAACTTTTTTTTTTTTTTTTAAATGTGATGAATAGAAGGGAACAACAAATGTGTTAATATAGCAAATTTTGACATGCAAAAGTTGCTGTAAACTACAGAAGATGAGTTGCCAATTACATGGGTTGCCTCTGCAGAGAATGTTTCACTGCAATATGAAAAATGCAGGTACAGAGCAAAGCAGTAGGTAAGGTGGATTAATACACACAATACAACAAATCATGAGAAGTAATGGACTTTGCATATGGAGACTTGACCTTAAAGACATGCAGTATTAATGGAGAAGGAACGACAAATAATTAAAACAATTACCCGAGTATTCAATTACTTCCTCTGGTGTCTTTCCTTCTACTTCTCTTGCAATATTTTCAATGTCATCACGACCCCATTTTTCATTAGCCTTGATAAATTGGTTAAAATCCCTTTTATTCCAGTTGGTAAAACCCTGAAGAAAAAAAAAAAATATATATATATATAATAATTTGATACCAAACTGCAAAAGCATGCAACATTAACATTACCCTTCCAATACTTATAAAAATCAAATGTATTCTAAATTCAAGAGATAATGGCTATGGTAAAAGTCAAAAGTAGACTATTAGTAGCACTGTGCCTACATGAATACAGACAGTCTTCACTTACAGGGGCACTAGCAGCATTTAGGAGGCTGTGCATTTGGCATCAGCAAGAGGATTAACCCACATTCAAATATGCAATGAATGAATGAATATACATATATATATATATATACATATATATACATATATATATACATATATATACATATATATATACATATATATACATATATATATACATATATATACATATATATATACACACATATACACATATATATATACATACATACATATACACACACACACACACACACACACATATACACAAAATACACACAAGTGTCAAAATAAATCCACAATCTCATATTCCCAAAATAAAGTGTATGTGAATTGAGACTGGTGAAAGACAGCTGTTACAATGCACAAAGCTGAATGTCCTATTTCAGTGTATAGGAGCAAGCTGGACTAATGCAACAATGTAATTAAGGTTAACTACCTCGCAAAACAATGTTGAAGACTAAACATATAGACCCTGCTCTATTTAGTAGTATTAGTTTTATACATAAATAGGATTCTTCTCATAAACACATCTAGAACTCTACCCTCTGTCCTAACCCAGACTTTCCTTAAGAAACCAAAGGTGATTTTAGAAAAAGCTAGACTCGCACTTATCAAATCTTTATAGACAAATTTGAATTTATACTACAAAAATCTAAGAATTGCCACTTTCTACTGTCCAGAAAAGATTCATGACCCTTCAGGCAGAATTATATAGGGGTTGAAAAGGATTCAGAATGCCAGCATGTGGACCACATTTTAAAAGACCAGGTGACAGCCTTGCCATATTTTCATGACACAAAGCAAACATCCGCTGAGAACTCTATGGATCCCAAGTGGAGCAATATTGTTAAGTATGGACTTTGATTCACTCTAGCAAGCTCATAATATAGGTATTCAACATACCCATTTTTACTTGCAACAGAGAGGGAGTCCGTAGCTGCACACACTGAACTATTTCCATTTATCCTTGCCAAGTCAATCACAAAACAACTGTTCAACAATCAAATTTTTCAACTGTTGAAATGGGGATGCTTTATGCCTCCTATGCCAAGCTCCATGTAGGCTGGTGAGAGGCTAATGTTCGATATACTGGTAATTTCATTTGTATCAGAATATTGTTGGTGGATCTTGGACTCCCTTAATAGAGTGCATAATATATTTTTTAAAGACAAGAAGATGGTGTTGATTAAGTGACACTGATCATGATATGATGCCCTGCAACCTACCTTCAGGAGATCTACTATATCAATGTGATGTAACTGTATAAGCTTTGTATGAAAAAAAAAAGAAAAATTCTCCTTATATATTACCTAAACATGTTATGCGATTATAGGATTATGGATTTCTATGGGTTAAAAAGGAATATATTCAATATTTAAAGGACCACTATAGTGACAGGAAAACAAACTTGTTTTCCTGGCACTATAGGGTTATTAGGTGTGTGTGTCCCCCCCACCCTCAGGGCCAAAGGGGCTTAAAACTTCTTCAACCACTTACCTTTAACCAGCGCCGGACTCCCTCGGCATTGGGGACCTCTCCTCCCCCGCCGACGTCAGTCCCGAGTGGAGCCGAATGCGCATGCGCAGCCGCACGTTCAAACCGCCCATAAGAAAGCATTACTCAATGCTTTCCTATGGACGTTCAGCATGCTCAATGTGATTTTCGCAATGAGGATCGCGGAAGAGCCTCTAGTGGCTGTCAGGGAGACAGCCACTAGAGGCTGGATGAACCCTGCAATGTAAACATAGTTTCTCTGAAACTGCCATGTTTACAGCTGCAGGGTTAAAACTAGGGGGGACCTGGCACCCGGACCATTTCATTGAGCTGAAGTGGACTGGGTGCCTGTAGTGGTCCTTTAAGATTTAATTTTACTTAAAATGTATTTTCTTTTCTTAAATTATTTTCTTTGTTTTTCTATTTATATCATATACCCTTTGGTTGATCTGACTTTTATTTTGACAATATAATGGGACTCTTATGTATGAACTGACCCATTATTTATGAATATCAATTTTCTTTATTTTTTTTACGACCCCCCCCCACCCCTTCCAACTCCTCTTTAGGACCCAGATGTTGCTGGCTTTTACATATTTGCGCTGACTATAAACAAGGCAGTAATATAATGTTATGTGCTAGGAGGCGGCTTGTGCAAGAGGATAGAGAGAAATATTTATTTATTTTTTATTTTCAAACAAAAGGTAAAACAGATTTCAATTGTCTGACATGAAGACCGGTCTTTGCCACAGTACCGATTCTATTTTGCTTCTTTCCTGTTGCTAGCATCAAATGAGAAATTAGAAGGTGGACTTACCACCATGCACATCATCTGGGGGCTACATAAGACATTGCTTAATGGACGGTACGCACCTTTGAAAAAAGCGCTACAGGCGAAACACCAGGTATTTGTTAGTGGCCCATGTCACTACTTTAAGGTAATATTATATGCAGGTGTATTAAGTATTGCCTTGCACACAGTGATGTGTGATCACTATGCTTGTAAGATATATCCATCAGCATTTAAACACTTTGTTTTTGAAGAACTGATTTTAGTTATCTTTATAAAATAAGATGTTTACACTATATATGGTGTACAGTGGGATCTTCTCACTGACCTGACGTGTCACAATAAACCTGACAAAAGACTGAGACAGCCTACATTAAGATACTGTCTCACCCTTTTTAGAATACTACCATTACTAAAAAGTGCCAGGACTATGGGTTTAGCCTTCAATTTGTATTCTGAGATAGAATACCAATAGCCCAAGTTCCAATGTTACATTAGTGCAGCTTGCTACTATACATTGAAATAGAATATTCCTTCTTGTGCTTTGTAAAGGAGCTGCCTTTTACCAGTATTACAATTCACTTGTGATTTTGGGGTGTTGTGAATATTAGTTTATGAATTTATTTTGACTTTGTTTTGGGTGTATATGTATACAATGGTTTTAAATCATTATGAATATCAGATTTTCAGAATTTCTCTTTTTTTTAAAAAAATCATATTATGAATATCAGATCTTTTTTCAAACTACACCCCAATTTTCATTAGTGTTAATACGGTTAACCTCTGTGGGAGTTCTGCATGGTCCTCTTGTGGTGACACTCCTGGCAGTGTGCCAATTTTTCCATCCAATACCAGTAGTGTGTTAAAAAAAACCTGACAGCCAGCCCACAATTCTCAATATGAGAATGACCGTTGCCATGACACCAGAGCAGAAAAATGAATATAACTTTGCGATGGCAGCATTTTAAGAATAAATGCTGCACATATATGGTCCTTGCATCACAAAGACAAGTCACAAATGCTTTTACATATTAAAAAAAAAAAAAAAAAAAAAACTTAACCCCCTAAGGATCAAACTTCTGGAATAAAAAGGAATCATGACATGTCACACGTCATGTGTCCTTAAGGGGTTAAAGGAACACTCCAGGCACCATTACCCCTACAGCTTCCCTAGTTACCTATGGTCTACCACCCACCACTCCCCAATCCACTACCTCAGACACCAAGCCCAGAAGTTCAGGGTTTGCCTCATTAACCAGGAGTGACCAGCATATGCTCCCTGCCAAGTGCTAGCTCTCCACTGCAGTGCTTGGCTCAAGAAAGCTAACAAGCTCCAGCGACCCATGTGTATAAAGTAAAACCTCAAATGGTTTGATTACATACAATAGGGAGGAAGCGCACATGGGATGCCTGGCATGATGACAAATACAGTTTACCGTAGTAGTTATTGTGCGTGGAATGTTCCTTTAACGTATCAGTAATGCTTAACACCTGTAAGTACCAATAGTAAACTTAAAACAAAACCGTGATACCTGTGTAAGCAGTTTTTCTTTCTCTTCAAGTTCTTCATCATTAAGTTGCTCTGCTTCATCAATCTTAAGCTGTTCTTCCTTTTGTGCCTGGGCTGCATTAGGCAAGTCAGGATTGCGTGGAACCTAAATAAAAGAGCATTCACAATTCAAAATTCAAATTAAGAATAGATAACAAAAAAACTAAACACATTTTCGATATGGAACACAAATCTTACTTTGTATCCAATTGTTTTTCTGTAATAGAGAATCTCTTTTTCCAACAATTCAAACAAACGTGGGGGGAAGAATTGGAAGTCCTGAACATTTGGCTGTTTTGGAGGTCTAGGAGCCTGAACGTAAAACAAGGAAATAAACAATATGCATACATCAGAACATAAGAGATATTATTAAAAGTAAAACTGTCAATCACAAAATTAAGAAGTAAAAAGATCAGCTTCAGTCTAGTATAAAATGGAATCCAATGCTAAATAGCAAATTTATATGTTTTACAAGTTTTGCTTAAGAAATGCTGCAGGGATAGGGTCTTTGCACAACAGCAACTTGACTAGGTTGTTATGGTGTTAAATGTGACATTTTAAGCAATGCTCATCACAGAAATTATAGGATTGAATTGCTTTTCAGTTCAGCATTTACTTATCTCCCGTGCAGCGTGAGTGTTACATCCAGTGTATCACCCTCCCATTTGCACCTGCCCTCTTTCTATGCAAATGATGCTGATAAGGAACATTTTCCCAAGCAAGGCACACCTCAATTTGACAACAAAACACTGGCAGAGTGGAGTGACTTCGCTTCGTTCCTATACCTTCTTGGCAAAGATTGAAGCACTATACAGAGGAATAAAAACAGCAACTATAGCACATGTGCTGTAATTGCTGTGATGGAAATCAGGAAAAGTGGTTATAAGAGGATTTTTCATGCACTCTTCTGTAACTCAATTTAGGCTACAGAATCTGTTGTTAAAAAGTAATTGATACATTTGCTAGCAGGGCTCCTAGCACTATATATACTGTTAACAGTTTGTGCCATGAACGGTACACTTTACCTGCCTGACATATTGCTATAATGATTACATGATTAGGTTGCATCTTTCCCTGGAGGGATAAATATGAAGAAAAAATTTTCTGAAACCCACCCAAATATGCAATGGACAGTTTAGGGACCCTTTTAAAAAAAAAAACACACACACACAAACCAACCTGTTTTCAATCAAACAAAACCATAAAATCTACATGACAACATACATTACACCAACCTTTGGTATTTTGGGCTCACTGACACGAAGTGCGTCCCTGAAATAGGCATCCACCGCATAGTTGGCTTTTCGTTCTCTCTTTGGTGGCTCAATCCATTCTGTAAATGCCATCTATAATAGAAAAAAAATGCTGTTATAAAATACAAAGCTATTTGTTGTTTATAATAACCACCAGAACTTTTAAAGCACCTAATACAGACTTATTAATTAACATAATTTAATTCAACTGTGAATCTACAAATCTATTAGTCTACATTTTATTTGAAAACCTATTCATACATCATGTTTTTAGCAATATTAAAACATAAAAGTAAAAGGTATTTTGACTAAGTTTTTGTAAATTATTCGACGGGCCCAACCATTTAAAAAGCAAGGAATGCAGTACTAATGAAGATCTCCGGTCTCTAGAGAAAATGCAGCACAGGTCTGAACTCAAAGGGATTCTGAAGTTTTAGGAATCCCTCCATCACACCACCTATGGCAACTAAATTGTAAAACAAAAAAACAAAAAACAAAAACAAAACAAAAAAAAAACCTTAAAATCACTTACCCAATTCCAGCACCAATGTCAGTGTGAAGGGGAGGGGGGTGGGGGAACAACCAATAAAGGCAGTCTTATTCATGCAAAGTAATTATTGCAGTTTCTCAAAAACTGGAACATTACACCCAGACCATATCAATGAGCTGCAGTGGTCTAGGTGACTAGTGTCCCTCTAAATTTATACAGCTATATATGAAGCGTGGTACATCAAACCAAACAAATGCAAACTATGTTGTAACAAGAAACATACACTAAAGACATTAAGAAATCAAAATGCAACAAGTTGCAAGATCATGAAAATAATACCTTTTGCTTTTCTCTGTAATCTTCCCCTTCAAAATTATACACACTGCATTCAGTATCCATTGAAAAGTTCCGCAGGTTACTTTCACCCATGTTAGAGAGTTTCTCTTTCATTTCAGCGGTCTGAAAAAAAACATTTACAAATGTATTTTTCTATTCAATAAACAAAGATTTTTATAACAGTTATGAAAAAAGAAAAGAAAGCCTCCTTCGCTTTTTTCACCACCACATTAATAGAGATCAAGGCACACACTAATGTTAAGTAGATTTTTATAAAATGAGATTACCCAGATTAAAAACAAAAAACCAACGATAAAACACACTTGTACTCAAACAACTTCAACCCCTTTGTTGGAGCCAATGTGTCTCAGTTATGACTTTTGTCCAATGCTTCTTATACGGAATCACTGGAGACACAGAAGGCATGCATAGCTGGGAAATTAAATGCTTCTTATAGAAGACTGAAAAGGTCACAATGCTGGGTATGGCGATTCTGAACATAAAGACTATATTTTCAAAGGTCTTCAATGAAAAATTGCCTCTAGTGGATGACAGCCTCTAGATGCTTGGTTGTGGGCAAATTTAAACAATGATGTTTATGAGAAATGGCAATGTTTAGCATTTTTAGATAGAACACAAAAGAGGGACAACAACTATCCATCCAAAACACATTCATAAAGATTAAATTGTTTTGGTGCTTAAAGTGACCATTTAATGAAAACTAAAAACATCTTCCTACTCCAATATTCACAGATAAATAGTATTTACAACAATGAATTATTTAACACCGTTTATATTTAATGTATTCATTCTAGAAAGCACTATTGTTGTGCATGGTTTTGTTAAAGTGAATCTGTTGTGAAAAAAATGACATGTGAAATCACACCCATCTACAGTGAATACACCATCTCTCACAGGGATACCAAATGTATTCAATGTAAAATATAGAGATTTACTCACCTCTCCTTCGTTCCAGCGCTGTTATCTTCAAGCTTTGTGGGTGTTCCTCTTCGTGTGACACCCACCTCTGAGCCATCCTCTGTTCATCCTCCAGTCTTCTTTGATTTGCCCTTCTTTGTGACCTTTCCAATCAGGGCAAACCTCTGAGCGACATTGCCAGCGTCTGAACAGAGTGAGGTCATGTCACTCCATTCCTCTACTCCCCAGACAGCATGTGCTGTGCTTGCTCTGCTCAGGAAAGCAGATGGCATTCACTAACAGCTGGAAAAATGCCTATTTTTTTTCTCCCGATTTATTAATTTACTTAGAAAACTACTAACACAATGGACAGAATTAATGCAATTTTCTCTAATGAACACAAGTTGTTTGGGGCATGACAAATGATGTTTTCCACATGCTTTATATTTAAAGGTCAACTTGTATCTATTAACAAGTAGTCAGAGTAACATTTGAACAAAATGTCATGTTAATGGCCTTACCTTCTTTTCACCTCTTTCTAGAATTGCATCAATGTCTTCATCTGTGATTTCACTATCTTTTGATGCAAACACATGTGTAGCACCATGTCTGATCATCTGAAGCATTTCGTCTTTTCCCAACTTATTTAAATTTTGATCCACTAACCTTCCTGATGAAGATAAGACAATATGTGAACATGATACATTCAGAAAACAATGTTTTTTTTATTATTAAACACAAGCCAGGCATTACAAAAAGAGTCGCTTACTCTTGTTAAGCAAGTCACATGGTTCTGTATCTCCACATACAATTATTTTGCCTTTTCCCTTTAATACTGCAACTACAATGGCTAAACTTAATCCCAAGTCAACTGAGCCTAAAATTCCAGATACCTGTGATTTCCAAAGTTTGATCAAGCTCATGTAATTTACCTAAGAGGTACTTTGATATCAACTCAAACACCCATGCAAAATGCAGGAGTTCTCTTCCTGACAGACTTACAAATTATGTAGTAGAGGCTCCTCTAACCAATATTGTAAAATTTGTCCATAAACCCCACTGCACACCTTCGGCTCCCAATTTAGCACAAAGTCCTGCTATTACAATGACATGGCATGTTGATAGAGAACACCGTTATTAATGTGGTCAGTACCTTGCGGTCAGCTTCTTTAGAGAACACTTAATATTTAAAAAATAAATAAATAAAAAAAAAAAAAAAACGACCAACATGGTATGGATGCCATCATCTTATTCAACAGTTCCACTCATGAGATCTGATGAGGGAAACAGGTTGCTGGTGGTTAAGTTAAATTTCACATAATGGATAAGATCCAATAAGTTCCACACCCACTGGTACAGAATGCCACAAACTGAGCATGCAGAGAAAAGGCAGCGTTTACATAATATCTGCAAGGACAGGATATAGATACCAGAACAACTACATTACACTGGTCACTAGTGTCGCTTTACATTTCCAGGGTTGGAATTATGGCTTCTTTCTTATCAACCACTTCCTCTGTGCATTAGTATCTCACATCTTTCATAAGACATTGGGCAGAACCCATCATGGATTTCTTATACTCATTTGTGAAGACAGATTATCAATCACATATATTTTTTTTAATTCTATTAAGTTTGCTAATTGAACTTTAGTATTGCACTAGCATATAAGAGAAGTACTTCTAAAATTAAAATTTAAACAATGTGCAATAAAGTACATTTCAAAATTAGATTTTTTCAGAAAGCCTAGAAGGGGGGCTGTGTGAGTGGCTAAGGCTGCATAAACAAATGTGATTTTTCTCTTAAATGGCAGATAATTGAGAAGTGAGACTGCAAGAACACAATCTATACATCAAAAAAATACTTAAGCTAAATTTGTTTTGCTGCTTAGTGTCCTTTTAAACTCAAAGCCAAAACATGAAAATTCACATGGTGATTCAAGAAGCAGAGCTCAAAAAGACATACCTTGCTGAATAACTATTGAATCTAGACGTAACTTCATCTCTGCACGCTCAACAATACGTTCTTCAACAGTATTGTCTGTGATGAATCTGAACACTCTCACAGTTTTCGTCTGACCAATTCTGTGTGCTCTGTCCTGAGGGGATAAAAGAAAAACATCCATTATATTAGGAAACACTGGTTTTTAATATATACACCAAAGAATACTTACAAGCAACATAAACTAAAGTGAATATTAAAAGTGGTGCAGGGAAGGCAGAGCCTAGCTGCAGACATGGACAGACACTCAATACATGGGCACGGTAATGCACCACTATTGTTGATATAGAAAGCAGTCTCAAACACCGAAAGAGGGGACAGACACCTGTACTTACCATAGGTCGCAAGACCAAGAAGCCCAGGTTGGGCATGAATATCAGATCTGCCACCTAAACAGACCAAGAGTATGCCCTTCGACTGACTGTTCCGAGACCCAAAGCCCTGGAGAGCTCAGAAATCAGCAATGAGGGATCAGGTGGTGCGCTTTGCCAGTAGTTTATAATGCGTAAGTAAAGGCAGCATTATACTCTTTAGAAAACTTGGTGCTCACATTTTTGCCGATCTCTCTGGTGGCACCCTACAGTGAAGGAAGTCCCTGCAACCCTTTACAGCGCTGCTCAAAACACACAACATTCACTACAGATAGTGACCTCCATGAATGCTCCAGTTCCTGAGGGGAAACTACACACACACCATTCGAGATCTAGAGGAAGCTGTTGGCCAAAGCCAAGTTCATGCGGAGCCCCCGCGAAAGTCATCCCCTTTGTCCCCCAGAAGGCCTTCTCAGATGCGTACACTGCAGCCACAACCTGAAGCTGAGCAGGACTCTCGACACATGTTTACTTAGTATCCTTTTTTTTTTTTTTTTTTAAAGGGGGGGGGGGGGAGAGAGAAGAGAGAAGAGAGATAACTGACTTACACACTGTCCAATGGTCCCCATTGAGGATTGTACAGGCCCATGTGCAAGTAAGCGTCCTTGAGGTCTAATGGGTCAATGATTTTAGCAAAATGTAAGTGGCTGAAAGAATAGTTTCCATCTGAAACTTCACATTCGGGATGACCTTGTTCAATTGTTTTAAATCGAATACCAGACTAACAGACTGATCCTGTTTCGAGACTAGAAAGAGGTGAGAATATACACCCTTGAATTCCTGTTTCTTTGGGACTGTTTCACAAACTTTTTTTTTTTTTTTTTTTAATAGGAGTGAGATTAAAGGACCACTCTAGGCACCCAGACCACTTCAGCTTAATGAAGTGGTCTGGGTGCCAGGTCCCTCTAGGATTAACCCCTTTTTTTTATTATAAACATAGCAGTTTCAGAGAAACTGCTATGTTTATAATAGGGTTAATCTAGCCTCTAAAGCCTCTAGTGGTTGTCTCATTGACAGCCGCTAGAGGCGTTTGCGTGCTTCTCACTGTGAAAAATCACAGTGAGAAGACGCAAGCGCCCATAGGAAAGCATTATGAATGCTTTCCTATGAGACTGGCTGAATGCGTGCACAGCTCCTGCCGCGCATTCGCATTTAGCCGAAGAGGCGGCGGAGGAGAGCTCTCCGCCTGGCGCTGGAAAAAAGGTAAGATTTAACCCTTTCCGCGCCATCCAGCCCGGCGGGAGGGGGTCCCTGAGGGTGGGGGCACACTCAGGGCAGTGTTTTCCTGGCACTGTAGTGGTCCTTTAACTCTGCCAGAAAAAATTCTGACACAAAGAAAGAGAAATCTGTCCGTATGATAGAGAATTAATAAAAATCACGACGATACTTTATTGCTACCAAAAAAGTTACTATAAGTACAATATAACTAACTCAGACAGAGAAAAAAAATAAACTGTATAATATATAAGGGGCATACAAACAAGGGATAAGGGGAGTAAATAAAGAAAAAACAAATCACATAGATCCAAACAAATGATCTGAAGCAAAGCTAATGAAGCAATCTCCAAGATCATGATGTAATAAAACCAAAACAAGCCAAGCGAAGCTAATTTGAAATATATAATGGAATAAAAAACTATAATGTGGGAAGGAAACTATTAGATATGTAGACAGCTGGCTCGATGTCGTCAGCCTGCTACATATGTTGCGATAATGTATCGCTAAGTAAGTTCAATATATAATGTGATAATTCGTAACATTTGGTTCACAGTCAACAGCCTAAGAGGGAATGTCGAGCCAGAGTGAACTGTAAATTAAAGATCTAGAATATCCGATAATGTCTAGTTCTGTGCAGACAAAGCCTGCTAAATAGTATGAAAATCATACAATTCAGTAGAACATGTAGCACTGCACGACCCAAATATAGCGCGATCAGTGCGGTCACTAGATGTCTAACAAAAACTACTTAAAATCTGAGATCCCTAAATAGATAGAGAGCACCTAATAGATATGAAAAAAAAATAAGAAAAATAGGAATAGTGCCTTCATGGACACTAGTGACCGTAAAGTAAAAATAAATTAAGATTTAACAGAGCAAGAAGCTCAAAAGTTAGTAATGATATAGTGGCAATTCGCTAAGCTTTAAGCAGTACCCTGATCAGTATTTTGCTTCCCAATAACTACAAGTAGGCTAGAAATCAGCCAAATTCTAGGATTACCCAAAAATAATTACTGGGTTGTCATAGGCTATACGATCTAAACCCCAGCGCAAATGCCGTGAGGAAGAGAGGGATGCAGACAGTGTTATTGGAACTGATCCATATGTTGCTTCCCGCTAGCTAGAATGGCTATCAATCAGCCCAATCCTAGAGGTACCCAAAATCACTGGGTTATCGCAGGCTGAAAGGTTTAGACCACGGCAAATAGAGAGGAGAGGGATGCAAAACGTGAATGTCGGATAAAAGTCAGGAGACTGTCAAACCAGACGCGCGTTTCGCCTGGTTTAGAGGCTCGTCAGGTTTGACACTGACTTTTTTCCCCCGACATTCACGTTTTGCATCCCTCTCCTCTCTAGTTGCCGTGGTCTAAACTTTTCAGCCTGCGATAACCCAGTGATCATTTTGAGTACCTCTAGTATTGGGTTGATTGATAGCCATTCAAGCTAGCGGGAAGCAACATATGGATCAGTTCCAATAACACTGTCTGCATCCCTCTCTCCCTCACGGCATTTGCGCTGGGGTTTAGATTGTATAGCCTATGACAACCCAGTAATTATTTTGGGTAATCCTAGAATTTGGCTGATTTCTAACCTACTTCTAGTTATTGGGAAGCAAAATACCGATCAGGGTACTGCTTAAAGCTTAGCGAATTGCCACTACACTTTATCATTACTAACTTTTGAGCTTCTTGCTCTGTTAAATCTTACTTTCTTTTTACTTTACGGTCACTAGTGTCCATGAAGGCACTATTCTTATTTTTTCATATCTATTAGGTGCTCTCTATTTAGGTATCTCAGATATTAAGTCGTTTTTGTTAGACATCTAGTGGCCGCACTGATCGTGCTATATTTGGGTCGTGCAGTGCTACATGTTCTATTGAATTGTATGATTTTCATACTATTTAGCTAGCTTTGTCTGCACAGAACTAGATATTATCGAATATTCTAGATCTTTAATTTACAGTTCACTCTGGCTCGACATTCCCTCGTTAGGCTGTTGACTGTGAACCAAATGTTACGAATCACATTATTTCTTGAACTTACCTAGCAATACATTATCGCAACATATGTAGCAGGCTGACGACATCGAGCCAGCTGTCTACATATCTAATAGTTTCCTTCCCACACTTTAGTGTTTGATTCCATTATATATTTCAAATTAGCTTCGCTTGGCTTGTTATTTTGGTTTTATTACATCATGATCTTGGAGATTGCGGTCATTAGCTTTGCTCCAGATCATTTGTTTGGATCTATGTGATTTATTTTTTCTTGTGTTTTTTCTTTATTTACTCCCCTTATCCCTTGGTTGTATGCCCCTTACATATTATACCGTTTATTTTTTTTCTCTGTCTGAGTTAGACAGTTATATTGTACTTATAGTAACTTTTTAGGTAGCAATAAAGTATCTTCGTGATTATTAATTCTCCATCATAGGGACAGATTTCTCTCTTTGTTTCATTATCCTAGGGTTACCCCCTTATCTCGATTTTTGGATAATCCCTCTGGCCAACTTTTCTTTGTAGAAGAAATTCTGACTTTACTTTTGATAGGCAAGATGAACTTTGTCTTTGGTTTCGCTGTGAACTTGAGTATAGCTGTCGGCAACAATGCTTAGAACCCAAGATGTTTTGGTGGTCTGCTACGAAGCGTGATAAAAGTATTGGAGACTTCTACTCTTTATCATGTCAACTGTTCTACTAGCCAAATTTATCTTTTTGGTATCCTTGAAAATTCATGAATCTGCCTTGATACCAATAACTTCTGCATGTGCGAAACTAACAATTCTTATAACAGTTTCCAATAAGCGGTTTATCTTGAGGAAGAACATTCTTGGTTTCAGATAGTTGTCTGATGTCTTCCAAAGGCATTCCAAATAGTTTGTCTTTCTAATGGCAGTTACACAGCCAATTTTAAAGCAGTGTCAACAGTCCAAGATCTTAACCATAAAGCTCTTCTGGTCACTGGGGATAGACCCAGAATACGAGCATCTCTAACATACCTGTGACATATTCGTTAGATAACCTCAAATTCATCATAATATATGATAAATCTTTGTCTGTGCCAAACAGTCTTCCAATGCTTGCACCCAAATATTTTGGGCTTTAGCAACAGCTGCTCCTGCCAATGCTGCCTTGCATTGAAAACCAGCAGACTGAAAAGCTCTTCTGGAAGATGTTTCTGCTCGTTTGTCCATGGGATCTTTTAGACCGGACACTTCTCCAATTGGTATGGTTGTTTTCTTAGATAACTGAGCAACCTGAACGTCCATTTCATCCTTTGGAGCATGAATCCTCATTTAAAACTCAAGTGACCTCCTAAACATTCTCAGTTTGCCTGTTGGAAATCACATCTCCACATTAGATGACATACGTGATGAATCTGACACTTCTGAAGCAGAATATTCTCCAGAAGATAATTCTGGCCTTGATGACTAACTCCCCTTTCCACCCAGGAAACTATCGGGCCGTGTCCCCCTGACAACAACTATGAGAGATTACTTTGCCCGTCCCATGTTGGGACAAGGAGGAACTGACATGCCTGGGCATGGAGAGCGTTATAGATTAGGTAGGAGAAGCATTTGAAACTTAATTTTGTTTAGATTGCTTGCCCCAACATAGGAAGTACAATCCACTTGAGTACTGCCAGCATATGCTAAGAAAAAAATGGTTCATTTTTAATCAGATCTGTCCACACGGCAAGAGAAGTTATAAAGCACTATGCAGACAAACATTAAATCTCTTTACAGGAAAGTGTAGATCATATGAAGAGGTGGTGTGACCAGGGCTGCATAAATAAAGTAATTTAACTCTTAAGTGGCAGAGAATGGAGCAGCTAAACTGCAAAAGAATTGATCTGTACACCAAAACCACTGAATTTGGCTAAATGTGTTTTGGCGCTTATAGTGTTCTTTTAATTTCTAAAAAACGTTTAGCAAGTAAAGAGATGTGCAAGGGAACACTCACGCTTAATAATTACCAATGGCGCAATCACAAACTGTTACCATGCAATATAAAACTATTTTCTTTGTTGTCTGCATTACATACCATTGCTTGAAGATCTACTTGTGGGTTCCAGTCTGAATCATATATGATGACAACATCAGCTGTAGCAAGATTAATTCCAAGGCCTCCAGCACGTGTACTCAGCATAAAGATGAATTTTGAACTACCAGGTTCATTAAACGTATTAATGGATTCCTGCAAAAAATTGAATCTGTTAAACATTTAGAGAACAATAAAAAGACCAAGGCTCCAAGTATAGAAAAATAAAAATCTTACTTGTCTATCATCATGTGGTGTCTGCCCATCAAGTCTGCAGTATTCATAATTTCTCCACATGCAGTAGTCTTCCAAAATATCCAAGACTCTTGTCATTTGGCTGAATATTAGGACACGAGAACCTATTAAATATGAATATATTATTTTGGGCTCAAAATGCTAGCTCTACAACTAAAAATTATCAACATTTTACTTAAGCCTTGAGATGCATGCAAAATGCATTAGACACATTGCAAAGAAAGTTCCCATTACCTTGCTCTTTTAGTTTGGGAAGAAGTTTGTTTAAAACTACCATTTTTCCTCCATTTGTAACCAAGTGCATGTCAGTTGTGTATGGAGGCCCAGGCTCTGCACCATCAAAAAGATAAGGGTGGTTGCAACATTTTCTCAGCTGCATCAAGATATTTAGAAGTCGCATCTTGTCAGTTTTTCCTGAAGCGTTCAAAATGTCTATGTCTTTCATTAAAATCTTTGTGTACCTACAGGGAGTAAACATAAAAGAAAAAGATTTATGTAGCGGAACGCCAATATTAAATCCACGAATTCCGCTGGTTCAGGAAATAATCCACAGTCAAGCGCTGGAAACAACAAGGCAATATCCCAAAACTCCCAGTAAACTGACGAAACACAGTTCTGAGAGTCAACTGAGGTCTTTTAATTCAGCTTCACAATTTATACAAGTCCCCATGCAAGGGGTTTCCTGAGTCCCTTCCCAGGGGCATTCCCAGAGTGGACTACATGGGGGACTTACAAAACAGGGCATTTCTCCCATCAGGCACTGCTGCACGAGAGGGATCCTCCCACTGGAATATACCGTTAAGTGGATTATCCCTCTGTGCAGCAGAACTTACAATTCGTATAAAAATGTATAACTCTATGAATATGCGGTCTATTTAAACGAATGGACGTTCGGTAGATAGCTGGGGTCTGAGCGCATCATTCGTGAGATTACCGCTCAGATCCCAGCTAAAACAACCGAACGCCGCACGAAAAACACATTTATTAAAAGACATATTAAAATGACCGATTGCCTTCCAGGGAATGAAATACCGAACGGCCCGGAACTCCCGAACGGCCTGGAGGCTCAGCGGTGTTGTCGAGTAGCCGTTTTTAGTACCATGCGCTCGACGACCTAACACCGCTGAGGGAACAAAGGATCCAAGATGGCCGACCGCCGCATGGTCGGTAGTCGAACGGCGGCCACCTAGGAGAGCCTCTAATTACCTAACATTGTTACCGATTAACAAGCGCCACACGCCTCTAAGTGTGTGGGCTACTATGTAGAGTGTTTTCGGTTCACGAACGGCCCGCAAAAGTGCCGTTCGTGAAACGAAAGGAAAACCCAATACAAATAGCTATCTGCATTCGGCAGATAGCAAATACAGGAAATACACAGTATTACAGCCAGCATACATTATGCATAATTAAACACATATTCCCACCGACATACAGGCAACCCTTAAAGGTACAGTCTCTTTATATTGTCCAAGTGGCTAGGTTTGCCACAATTTACATTTTATCTGTGTAAAAGTATGAAAAGTTCCCTCAATGAACACAGTTTATTGGTGCATGCCACTCACATTGCATTTGGAGAAATACCCACAAAACTGAAAACCCATCTCTTACAATAACATTACAAGCACTTTAGCACTAGAAAAAAAAAAAAGTGCAGATTTCAATAGACTAATAAATGATGTTACAAATTGACCTTTTTACAACCCTTGGCTGTCAGACAACTGGTCCTGTTACTTTCTGGCTGTTTACCTCAGTTGAGCTAGACTCAAGAGGCAATAACTTCTCAACAAACTGCAATGAGAAGTCTGTAAGTGGACAATCACAGAAAGTCTGGGATTGGAAAGATTAACAAGAAATCAGCAGCTTTTGCAAGTTTTAGATATATCCCCCAATGGAAAAGCATAATTTTTTTACTTACCGTAAAAAAAATTTCCCTTCAGATTAGAGGCAGTACTTTACAACAGAGATTTATAATCTGGAGGGAAAGAACAGGCAGGAAAACCCCAAAATTTTTAAACACCTCCCCCAAATTACAGCAGTAATCTTCAGGAAAAATAAATTTATGTTAAGTAAAAATATAATGCATTTCCCTTCAGATTGCGTCTTTTCCCTTCAGGTTGCGTCTTCCGAGGCTGTGTCTAATTTGTAATGTTTAGCAAATGTGTGAAGAGATAACCACGTGGCTGCAGAACAAATTTGAGAAGGAGTAGCTGAAGCCCTTAGGGCCCAAGAGGTGGACATAGCTCTGGTAGAATGAGCTTTAATGGAGATAGGTGTAGGAACGTTAGATGCGGAATATGCCAAACGAAGGGAGTCCTTTAAACATTTGGACAGAGAGCCTCTAGATGCCATAAAACCTTTTCTAGGACCACGAAACAAGATAAAAGGTCTGTTTGTTTTCCTAAAGGGCCTTGTACTTTCCAAGTACTGGAGCAAAGATCTCAACGTCCAGGCAGTGGAATTTGACTTCTAAGGCATTAGAAGGCTGTTGTTGAAACCATTTCTTGATTGATGTTAGACGTAGAACAAACCTTGGGAAGAAAAGAAGGATCCAGCTTTAAAACCACTTTGTCCTGATGGAAAAACTAAAGAAAAAGTAAAGGGCTTGAAGTTCTCCCAATCTTTTTGCCAAGGTAACTGCCAACAAAAATAAAGTCTTTAATGATAAAACCTTGAGAGAGGACTTTTCTATAGGTTCAAACAGAGGTTCGCAGAGCGCTGATAAAACCAAAGATCCCATTGTGGGTAGATTTCCCTGATGGTAGGAACCAAACAAGACAAAGCTTTGAAAAACCTGGTGATTAGAATATTCGAAGCCAAACATCTGAATGAGAAGTAACGGATAGCTGAAATTTGGACCTTGAGCGTGGCTGGTTTCAATCCTTTCACAAAGCCTATTTAAAGGAATTTAACCCCTTTGCGACCGCGGACGTATGATCGATTCCAGACGCTCTTAGGGTATTACACGATGCCTTGATATTGAGGCATCGTGGAATACCCCCTACACTGCCGGGGGCACAAGTGATCCATCCCGATCTTCTGTAGAATCCCGGGAATTTGAGAAAAAGGAAAAAGACATAGGCTAGGCCAAAATTCCATGTAACAGAAAGGGAGTCTAAGACCTCTGGCCTGTCTGAAGTGTTCAAAGATGCAAATCTTCTTGTTTGATCTTGAAGTCACCAGGTCTATTTATCGATAACCAAATTTCTTTGTTATAGGACTGAAGATCTGGAAAGAAAGAGACCAATCTGCTTGTTTTAAATGTTGACTTAGGGAGTCTGCCAGAACGTTGATTTCTCCTTTTATGTGTACTGCTGAAATAGACAAAAGGTGAAACTGACCATAGCATGATTCTTGAACATAGATTTTCCAAACAAGTTGACCTTGTTCCTCTTTTTTTTTTTTGAAGTATGCTACTGTAGTAGAATTGTCCGACCTGATCTTGACATGTTGATTCTGGATCTAGATCTGAAAAGCAACGAGAGCCAGCCAGACCGCCTTCAGTTCTTTGTAGTTTGAACTTCTTAAATCTTTCACTAGCCAAATTCCTGGTTGTTTCTTTTCTCCCATGTGAGCACCCCAGCCGAGACCAGAGGAGTCGGTCGTTAAAATTCGGAACTACTTTATTTGGAAAGAAAGACCTGATTGGAGGAAATGTGACTAGGTCCACCAGAGAAAACTCTTCAGACTGTTGAATTTCATAGGCATGTCCAAGCCGATCGTTGGTTCCAGAAGCTTAAAATATTTATTTGAAGGTGTCTCATTCTGGCATTCTACCCAATTGACTGCTGGAATTGAGGCTGTGAAAAGACCAAGCAAACTCCTTGCTTCTCTAATGGAGCAAAAACTTTTTCCTCTGAGGTTCTGAATAGCTTGAGCAATTTTCATTCTTTTCTCTTCTGGAAGAAAGATCTTCATACTGACTGTGTCTATAATCAGACCCAGAAACTGTATTCTTTGCATAGGTACTAATTCTGACTTTACGAAACGTATCAACCATGACTTCTCAGGGAGTCTAAAGCCGTACTGAGTTCTTGATAAAGTTGTTCTTTTGAGTCTGCAATTAAAAGCCAGTCGTCTAAAGAGGGGTTGACATTGATGCCCGTTCCCCTTAAATCTGCGGAAATAACTACCAGAATCTTTGTGAACACTCTTGGGGCTGAAGAAAGACCAAAGAAAATGCTCCAAACTGTTAGTGCAGTGTGTCTCTCTGGAAGTTTATGGCGAACCGTAGGAATCTTTTGCAGCGTTCTGCGATGTGAATGTCTAAATATATGCGTCTTTTAGGTCTAGAGAAATAAGCCAATTTCCTGGTTGAATAATGTGAGTTGCAGACTGTTTCCATATGAAACTTTTTTAGAATAAACTTGTTGACTGCTTTGACAACTAAAATTGGTCTGCAAGAACCATCTGGATTTGGAACCAAAAAGAGTCTTGAATAAGTGCCCAGAAATCTTTTTAATTGCATGCTTTTGTATCACATTCTCTTATCTTGTAATCAAACACCCTTCTTTGTTGATCTCTGTAAGAGTTTCTCCAAAAGGAGCATCCGTAAGCTGATTGGACTCTAAAAAAACCTTTTTATTCCAATGCAATTTCCTGTTCTCTTCTGGTAATGCTTTACCATCCTTCATTTGCTTCAAAAGATCATCTAATTTGGAACCAAAAAGTCTGCCTGGTTCAAAAGGAATGTCCCAGAATTTTTGGATGCTGAATCAGCCAACCAGTTTCTCAACCATACTGCTCTTCTTGCCACCGTAGATAAAGCCTGATACAACCTCATCTGCCGAAAGCAGACAAAGAAGTGTGGTAAGTGAGGTAAGACACTAAAAGTGTCAAAGGTAATTTGGGGGAGGTGCTTAAAAATTTAGGGTTTGTCTGTTTTTTTTCCCTCCAGGTTAGAAATCCCTGTTGTAAAGCACTGCCTCTAATCTGAATGGGGAAACAAATGCATAATTTAATGCATGTACATTTTAATTAACCCCTTAAGGACAGAGGCAATTGTACACATTCTAATAAAACCTGCAACTCGAGCTATAAATATGTTCAACTATAATTTACATCTTTCATACCAAGTGCACCGACACTTATTATACATCACTTTGTTCAGGAGAAACAGGGCTTTCACTTCACATCAAATATTCATATATGAAACAATTTAATATGAATAAAATCTAAAACATTTTGAGAAATAAGATTTCCATTTTTCAAGTTCTGCATGACATGTTAACTGTGAATGGCATAATACAGTTTGCCTTTGCTGCAATATAATACACATATGTATTCAGAGATGTCTCACGAATACAACATTACCCCACCATGTACAGGTTTCATGGGGTTTTGTAAAGTTACAGGATCAAATATCAGGCTTGCCCATTTCCGTTTTTGCACATTGAAATTTGTCAGATTGGTTATGTTGCCTTTGAGACCGTATAGTAACCCAGCAATGAGAATTATCCCCATCATGGCATACCATTTTAAAAAATTAGCGAAGTTCCACTAGTACATCAGTGTACACACACGTGTATATGTATAAGTATATTATAATTAACGCATTTTATAATTATACATATATATGATTTCATTATAAGTGTATTTTGAAATATATATATATATATATATATATATATATATATATATATATATATATATATATATATATATATATATATATATACACACACACACACATATATATTTCAAAATACACTTATAATGAAATCATATATATGCATAATATGTATAATATATTATAAAATGGTTTAATTATAACATATTATACATGTATGTATAATAAATACATATAATTTTTTTCAAAAATGTTTTTTTACTTTTAGCAGCCTTACATATGCACAAAACACACATTTTGGGTATTACTTATATATTTTTATTTTATTGTACAGCAGCCCCCTGCAGTCAGCTCTATGGGCAGCTTTTTGGACCATGTGATCGCTCGGGGCCTGGTTTGCCAGGGGGAGACTGCATGGGCTGTCAGGCAGTCCTGCCGAAGCGGATCACGGTGGAGGCGAGTACAGCGGACCTCCAGGGGCTGAAAGTCGTTACAGCGTTCCATGCTACCACAACGGCTTTTAATCCCATTATAATTGGAACGACAAGGAACACCGTAACAAGGTTAATGGTATATCTGCCAAATATGGATTTTTGGGGAGTTGCATTTGGCCAGTGGAGTATGTCTATAAAAGACAGCTCTGGGGACGGGGCCTGGTAGCCAATTTAGACAGACGTGTGTCGCAGGGGCTCCTTGACAAAACCTGAAATTAATCTGTTGCAGGGGTATTTCAACATCCACGACAAACTCGCCTAGTTCACCAACTACCAAGCACAAAATGCAATCTGCCCCAGAGGCCTAGAGAGACAAGCTGGGTGGAGGGGACGGCCACTCCATTACCTCACTAACCTAGATTATGCCCCGTTTCCCCCCCCCCCCGGAACGGTGGGGGCATGCCGATCTGACGCACCTGCAAACTGAAAGCCCTGTGGGATTGAACATTCGAGACTACATAGCCTCGGAGGGGACATCCAAAATGGCACCTACTTCCCACGAGCGCGCCTCACAGCAGCAAGAAAGAGATCCTTCTGACGTATGGCAGCAGTCCGTGAAGTGATCTTTTTAACGGAGCCCCCTGTACCCCTAGCTGGGTACCTCCACCAAGGACCACTTCCTAGCTGGGACAGGGGTCAAACAGCAGCACTTCTGCCCACAGTTGCAGTGGCTTGACTGGGGGCGTGGAACTGCTCGTGGAGCAGAATGGGGAATTCGCTCTAGTCCTTACAAGGACTTCCCTCCCCGTTGAATCCTCCACACTGGAACAAGGATTAAAGAATAGCCCTTTCCCCTCCCAGTAACCAGATGATACCTAGTTCTGGGAGTACAAGCTGGAATATATTTATTGGCAGCCACAACTGGCTTTATATGCAGGTCCCCATGCAAGGGGTACCTCCCCCGGACATCAGATTAGACTACAGTGAAAACATACATATGATTACATTGGCTCCCAGGTCCAGGACACTCCCATACAAAACAAGATAATCCCTCCCCTGTGCCTGGGAGATAATTGAGTAAATCTCGGTGTGAAACTCTATTATCTTCAAGCACAACACACACTTACCAAACACCCCAAAAGTACCTTAAAATACATAAAAACCTCACAAAAGTTACATCCCCTGATAGCCCCAATATCACCTAGATCAGTTCAGGGGTTCAGGAATTTCCTGGAAGACAATTTGACCGACCGCATGCATGGTCCCATGCCCAAAACAGTTCCATAGAATCGCAGCTAAGTATCGCTGGGAATCGACCAGGAACCGCGAAGTTTTCATGACGAAAATAGTTACAGGGCATTCGCGGCTAAGTCCCCCTGAAGTCTATTCGCAGTTTTGGTCCATGCGCACGAATGGAAAGTGCCTAAACCAGGGAGAATAAAATATGGGTCTTTACAGTCGCTGATCTGGTCCATAGTCTGTGCGCAGGAGCCCAGCTTCCATACTCCTCCAGGAGTACATTGCAAACGTCTGTGGAAAGTGGCATTTGTCACCCCCCCCCCCCTCCCACAGAACCTCTACTCATGAATCAATCTTGCCTACCGAAAGCCCACCCAAGCCAAAGGCCACCAGGGGCAAACCCCCGAAGCATCACCAACGCAGATGGAGGGCACCAAGTCACTCCCAAAAGGGGACAGAACGGGACTCCCAGAGCTCATGGCTTGCTGCAGCTCGCACAAAACTAGGGACGGAGGATTTTCTTGCCTCGCTCACACTGCCGACCAGGTGTGGGAACTGGATGAAGCCCTGACCACTAGCATCGGGTAGTCTATCCGTGATGGGCTGGAACCACGAGGCCTGAGAAGTCGCCATTTTGTGCTAAATTACGCTAATGATGACATGTCTCCTATAGTTTGTTATATTTTATTTTCTCTAATGTTGCGTGCTCTGTGTCTCACAGACTGATTGCTGTCCCAGTGGAAATCTAATCCAAGTTGTGTTTTTTTAAAACATTCACCCACAAGCAGTGCCAATTAATTATTCTCAGACATGCCTGTCACAGCCTGTTTGCCTATGCCTTAGCATGATTATTCTAAATAAGAGCAAATCGATTGCCCGTTACACAAAGCATGTCAAATGGCAACATACTAGTTTTGTATATAGCTACAAATCTAAACCAAGCTTTTAGATCTCTTCTCATTTACTCTCCTGAAAGTCTAACCTGTTTCGAGCATTAGACACCATGCCTTTCACTGAAACACTCTTTCAACAGCAGTTATATTCATGTAAGAGGCACCAGTAATAAGCAACACGATTAATCTGTTATGTCTAAGGTCATGTTGGGAATATTGGTGGCCATATCTGCTCTTAATGTAGCCTAACTTTACTTGATATGACTTGACAGTCTTAAGTTTAGACCTATAGCTTAGCCTGTTTATGAACACAAAAAAAATAGTGCATGTCTCATATGTCATGACACTGTATTTACATGTAAAACTCATGATGTGCTTGTCACTGTCGTCGTAGCATTACAAGCCTGTATGTTCATCTGTGCACGAAGGAAAAAAAAAAAAAAAGACAACTCCACACTTAAAATGAATATTTTGTAGATATACCACAACGAATACATGCATGCATGCTTCAGGGGAGCTAACTGAAGCAAACCTCCATGGCTGTTTGACAGCCAGGAGGGGGTTTCATTATTCACTTCAGAAAGCATGGGTGTGAAATGGTCCTTTAATGGCGTATAAGCTTATACTATTAATATGCTCTACACTACAACAAGACTTTAAAACAAATCATGTTTTAAAGAAAAATTTCCTGAAGCCTAGCATTTTTTGCAGTCTGTTTACTTACAAGTACAATTTGTTTTATTTTCAGTTATCACAAGAGCTCAATTTACATGCCACTACATATGACACCAAATACACAAATCTCACCATTCTCTTTGCATTTTGCTAAGACCAACATAAATTTTTACTTCTTTTTTAGGTGGTAGACTTTTTTCAACTTCTGCCTTTATACGACGCAACAGAAAAGGCCTCAATACCTGAAGGAGAGAAGGAAAAAATAAATACGTTTATGAAAATGATTCAACATCACACGTCTCTACTCAATTAATTTAAAATACTAAAATTATGTGAACAAAATAAAATACCTATTAACTAAACCCCGTTTATGCACTTGCAGCCAGGCATTTTTTCTTAAAAAGGAAAACTAGTACTAGAAATACAAATCTGCTACAGTGTCCCTGTCCCTGCTGGTATGTCCACTCACCGGGTGCATTAAAAAGCAAAATAAATGTTTTATTTACCAAGTTTCAGTATCAAGCCACCCTGAGCGCTGCTTGCCTCTCTGCCTTTATAAGTTGTCCAATCCAATGCTCCTCAAGGAGCACTAGGGATCTAAATTGCAGTGAACCCAGCATTATCCGCAATCAAACTTCCTCATAAGAAAGCATAGAATCAATGCTTTTTTAAGGGGCTTCCATGTCATGTGACTGAGTTTTAATTGTCAGTGCAGTGGAAGTGCCTATAGTGGCTGTCATAGTGACAGCCACTGGAGGTGGACTTAACCCTGCAATGTAAACATTGCAGTTTTTCAAAAGGAAGGGGAAAAAAGTTACCTGCACTCTCTCTTTAATCCCTATGAATATTTAATCAAATGGCCACTGGAGGGAACGCCCGCCTGCCAAAGTCAAGGCAGACCCCCCCTAGACAGATCTTACTCTGACCTTTCACCTTGCTTCCTTAAGCTTCTGGCAAAGATCTCTAATGAGACAGAAAGGGGTATTTTTTTTATATACACCCCTATGTACTTATTAACCCTTAATAGGGAGCACATGGGATGGGTGGCATCATTGTAACCTGTGTGATACAAAAAGTCAATACAAATAGAAAAGTCCTGCGCTCACTCCCATCACTTCTGTGCGGCAGCAACGATCACAGTACACATCAGTTCCAATACATATAATAAAAACCAAAGATAAAAAAAGTTACCTGCACACTCTCCTTAATCCCTATGTATATTTAAACAAATGGAGGTAATTTAGTTACTCCAAATAGACATCTTTGCCAGAAGCTCAAGGAAGCAAGGTGAAGGGTCAGACTAGGACCCGTCTAGGGGGGTCTGCCTTGACATTGGCAGGCGGGTATTCCCTCTAGTGGCTATTGGAGTAACTAAATGACCTCCATTTGTTTAAATATACATAGGGATTAAAGAGAGAGCGCAGGTAACTTTTTACTATATGTATTGGAGCTGATGTGTACTGTGGTCGTTGCTGCCACCCAGGAGTGATGGGAGTGAGCGCAAGACTTTTCTTTTTGTATTAGTTTCTCAAAAGGGACATTACATTCATACCACTTCATTGATATGAAGTGGTCTGGGTGACTATAGCGTTCTATGAATTTAGGCTTTTGCAGTAATTTATCCTACTCAATGCAGAAGTGGATGAACAAATGAAACACCATTAAAAAAAAAAAAAAAAAGCCAAATGCAAAAATACAACCTGCAAAAGCACTGGAAGGAAGACATAACACGCACAAAAAAAATACCAATTTTTATAGAACAGAAAACAAATAGGACTTACCATATGAAGACGTTCAACTAATTTTTGATCTCCAAGACAGTTGTTCGTGTCAAACCAAGAGTCGAAATCCTGAGAAGGTTAAAATAGTAATACATTTAAATGCACATACTGATACTGCAACAAAACAAAGCTTTGAAAAAGGAAAAAATGGAATGTTACGGTTACCTCAGAAGAATTAAAGACATCTGGCAATAGAAAATTCAGGAGTGCCCACAATTCATGCAAATTATTCTGGAGTGGAGTTCCTGTGAGCAGTAGACGATTGGTTGTCTTAAATTCTCTCACAATTTCAGAAAGCTGTTGAGAGAAAGAAAAAAATATACATATATTCGTGTTGAAATCAATTTTAAAAATATAGTATTTTGTTTAACTTAAAAGCAGAAACTTACCTTGGATTTCTCATTTTTTATTCTGTGGGCTTCATCAATTACCAAGTATCTCCAATTAAACTTCTTGAACACAGATTTTTCTTTAATCAGCATTTCATAAGAAGTTACACAGACATCCCACTCTCCTGGAAGTAGTACATCACGAACAAATGCAGCCTTCAAAGAAATACACATTAAAAATGTAGAAGATTTAGTCAAGTATTTGTATAAAAATGTGCATTACAGTTTTATAATTGTGGACCAAAAACAAAGCATTAGGACTATTACTAGAGAGAGAAGAAAACACCCACAAAAACAAAGGAAACAAATTATTTTGAAATTACTGAGAGGATTTAAAAGATTTTATATGTGAATAGGGACTACTCACTCTGTGATCCTTGTCTCCTATTAAGCACACTGCACGCAAAGTTGGCACCCATCTTTTAAATTCTGCCATCCAGTTATGCAAGGTAGACTTTGGAACCAACACCATATGTGGCCCAGGTATGCTTCTATAATGCTTCATATATCCTAGAAGACTGATTGTCTGCAATGTCTTTCCAAGACCCTATTAAGTCAAGATACATGTTACTTGTGTAAATACATTCACAAAACAAAATAGTGCATAAAAAAAAAAAATTCTGAAATGTTTTTTTCAAAAAGCAAATTCAGAACAAAGCTCAAATGTTTTTAACTTCAAAGGGTATTTTCTTTAACAGATTAAAATTGGGCAACCCACAGGTACTGCTCTCCTTTATGAACCATAGCTATTTACCAGAGAAAGAGGACACTTAACAGGTATTTGATTGATCAAATTTGCAACTTACTGTAAAAAAATAATACAACACAAGCTGACTGTTAGTCAAATATTCAGACAAAGCAAATAATGAAAAGCACCATAAAATTTGGTAGGATTGCTTACCATTTCATCAGCCAGGATTCCATTGATACCATTTTCATAAAGCGAGATTAACCAGTTCAGTCCTCTAACTTGATAATCTCTCAGTTTGCCACTTTTCACATCTGAGCACATAAACAAATAGCAATATTATACATGTCTGTTACACAAAGCATTTCACTATAAGACAGAACTATGATAAAATATATTAGTACTGTTTTTTATAAACTATAATTGCTGCTAAAAACACCTAAAATTAGATTTGTTGGTTATATAATTTTAGGAATACTTCATATGAATAGGATTTTTTTAAATTTTTGTATGTTACAATTCACATATTACAAAAGGCACATTAAGGTTGCAAACCAAAACAGACAAAGACACTATAAAGATTCATAGTGGCCACTAAAACCAAAACAGATTCATAAAAGAATACACAAGCAAGGGTATACATCTAGAGACAATTATATATTCTCATTTTATCAATATGTGCCAAATGTTCCTGTTAAGAGCTTTTTTTGTGTTCCACACAAATAACCTTTCATTTTTATGATGCAATTGCAAGGCTAAGCACAGACCCCAATTATAGCTATTCCTGCAGAGCATAATCGGGTAGTATGTCAAGAATGAATACTTGTTTTAGTGTGCCCGGTCACTACAGTTATTAAATCTTGAACTTGAGACAAGTAGGTACCCATCTTAAAACAGTGCCAAAAGATGTGACAAGAGACCAAATCTCCGAATTGCATCTTCAACATATTGGTATGGAGACATCTGGGTATGTGTGTGCTAATCACTGAAGAGTTAAATACAATCTCATAAGTAGTTTTTTTTTGTGTGTTTTTAGATTCAATATGGTTTAGGCATTGAGTGTTGCCTTTCATCTGACCACTTTGATCCATTGGGCAGGAGTAAATTGAATATTCCGTTCCTTCTTTCATTGACATGCATATTTATGCCGTGCTGATCAAAATATTTGTTCCCAATACATGCACAACCAAATGCATACAAGATCATTAAAGTGGAAACATCTTGCTTTTAAAAAAAATAGTCTTAATTTGGATATAAGTAAAAATACCCCCACCAGGAGGATTGTATTCGGCCTGCATTTCCAGGGTTGGGAGACCTGAAGTGGATCCTCTCCCTGAGGTTCAGCAGGGAGCTGATTTAACCTTTCTGCATTGATTGCAACTCACTAACGTGAGTGAGATGTACAGGCACAGCAAATGTCATATCTCCCTCGCTCCCCTACACGAAACACCGTACATTAGCTCACAGGTAGGCAGGTACCTACTCTACATCTTAATTTAGGGCAGTTTTTGCACCCTTAAGAGCAAGCACTGACCTTGCGAGAAAGCCCAATACAGTGTGGCAGCTGCTGACTTCCACCACAAGGATGCTGAGCAATTATCTCTCTGCTATTTCCCTCGCCTAGATGCCTGTAATTCAGTAAATGTGGGAGTGGTTTTGTTTGCCTCTGACTGGACAAAGTGAAAAAAAATAAACTACCTGCCTGTCCCCCGTGCAATTTAAAACCCCGAACTTAAAATTACCATTTGTGAAAGTAGTAAGCAGTATTTTGAACATTTTGGTGTAACTATTTTATCACAAACCTCTGCTAAAACAAACTGCATTTTCATTGTGAATATTTTTACAAGGTTGTGGGTAACTGCAATATGATGCCCCAATAGTGGGTTCTAAACATTACAAGCACACTTTTTTTTTTTTTTTTTTTAAAGAAACACGAACTTTGGAGGAAAAAAAAAAACAAAACTATATATTTTTTTGTTTTTTTAATGGCATAGAAAAGAACAATCAAACCATGAAAAAAATATATACCGTATATACTAGAGTATAAGCCGAGGCCCCTAATTTTACCCAAAAAAACTGGGAAAACTTATTAAACTTATTGACTTATTAGATTCTAAAAAAATTATATTAATTGAATATTTATTTACAGTGTGTGTGTATGAGTGCGCAGTGTGTGTGTGTGTGTATGAGTGCGCAGTGTGTGTGTGTGTGTATGAGTGCGCAGTGTGTGTGTGTGTGTATGAGTGCAGTGTGTGTATGAGTGCGCGATGCAGTGTGTGTATGAGTGCGCGATGCAGTGTGTGTGCGCGATGCAGTGCGTGTGCGCGATGCAGTGCGTGTATGAGTGCGCGATGCAGTGCGTGTGCGCGATGCAGTGCGTGTGCGCGATGCAGTGCGTGTGCGCGATGCAGTGCGTGTGCGCGATGCATGCGTGCGATGTATGATGCAGTGCATGTGCGCGATGCAGTGTGCGTGTGCGCGATGCAGATGCGTGTGCGTGATGCAGTGCGTGTGCGTGATGCAGTGTGTGTGCGTGATGCAGTGTGTGTGCGTGATGCAGTGTGTGTGTGTGATGCAGAGTGTGTGTGTGATGCAGAGCTTTGGTGGGGGGTGGGCATTTTTATAAAAAAAAATTTAATTTTTTTGGTTACATTATTTTTTTAATTATTATTTATATTTATATATTAATTGATATTATTTTAAAAAAATTGTTATATTATTTTTTTATTATTATTTTTATTATTTATATATTATTTTTTTTATTTTTTTTAAAATATTTTTATTATTATTTATATATTATTAATTTATTTATCCCCCCTCCCTGCTTGATACATGGCAGGGAGGGGGGCTCTCCTTCCCTGGTGGTCCAGTGGCATTGGGGGGAAGAGGGGGGCTGGCAGAGCTGGTACTTACCTCTCCTGCAGCTCATGTCAGCTCTCTCCTCCTCCGCGCCGGTCCGTGCAGTTTTTCTCTCAGCTCACACTAAGTCTCGCGAGAGCTGCACTATGACCCCGCGGCTCTCGCGAGACTTACACTGGGAGCTGACCGAGGTGCTGACCGGACCAGCGCGGAGGAGAGAGCTGACAGGAGCTGCAGGAGAGGTAAGTAACAGCTCTGCCAGCCCCCAGTCTGTATTATGGCAATGTAAATTGCCATAATACAGACCGACTCGAGTATAAGCCGAGTTGGGGTTTTTCAGCACAAAAAATGTGCTGAAAAACTCTGCTTATACTCGAGTATATACGGTACCTAAAATTCAAAACTCAATTTGGTAAGAATTACTGCAGTAGACAACACAGAAGAACTAGCAGAATACATAAGATGTGTTTACTTACAGGATGGAGAGTCTTCAAATCTAGTGCAAATATTTGTTGTCTTGGAACTTTCTGTCAGAAGTTCCTCATCCTCTTCTTGCTCTGTCCTGCGATGCCGGTAACTAAAATAAAAAAAATGTAAAACTAAAATTCTGAATTCATTAGACTATCATTTATCTGAAGGTTTGGTACTGAGGAAGGAACAGTATTTGAGGAACGCATGTGACCATTACTTCTGGGTTGTATTCTGTGGATAAATGCATCTTTATAATCTGCTAGACAAATGTCTGACAAACCTATAGAGTAGCAAATATGTTATAGTAGAATGATTTCTCCAAAATTAGTTTCCAGAGCAGGATGTAAGATATTTGCTCAGAATTCCCTCTTTGTCTCACAAAGAACGCTCCATAAGCTGTCCTGAGAGCACAGTATTCTGGCATAGTTTACAAAGGCTGCCAAAAATGATGCAGGCAAAGATACTTCATGAAGCGATGGTGAAGTAAATATTGGATAAATATTTTACTTGACAAAATCTGCCAGTATCAATGATTGTGGTATGTATACAACCACAACAGGAGTTTTATCAGTGTCTCTTGAAAACAAACGCTGACAATGAAGTTTTGAAACACAATTAAGGAGATGGGTAAACATTACCATAGAGTCTAAAATGCATACATTAAAACAAATAAGTGAAAAAGACTACTTACTCTCCTGCTGATAATAAATTTTGTTTTTCATCTTTTTTAAGACGTGGGCGTCCGGGCTTCATTTTTAATGGTGAAGTTGGAGTCTTTTGTGCAGCTGGTTGAATAAAATGTGCAAATACCTCTGTTTGTTTCAAAAGATACTCAAACCTGTTGGACCGATCAGTTTGCTATAAAAAAAATAAAGTAAACGAATATGTATCAGACACTTCAAAAAGATAACTGCATGATTGGGTGCTTAAAACACTAATTAAAGCGAAGCACGAAAGACACAGAAGCATAGTTACATGCGCAGGAGAATGCAGGAATGCTGAAGGATGATGTAATGAGTTCTTCCCAACGTACAAAACAAGTGAAAGAAAACAAATCCCATTATAAGCAAAGCCAAGCAGACACATAGTTCAGAAATATCTGCTATAAAGCAAAGTGTTTACATAGCATGCTATTTTTAGCTTGCATTAAAAACAAAAAAAAAACAAACACTAACCTAGTATTCGATACAAAAATATGCATTTAAATAACATGTACTCATGTAGTGTATATAAAATTTGACAGACAATTTACTGTTCCATCTCCAGACTCATTTTTGTTGTGAAAAGTCAGTTAGCTGCATGACCAATCCCATTTAAACCTAAACAAAAACTTAAAAAGGAGGGGGATTCAGCTGGTTATTTATTTAAGCAGGCAGGGAAAAATACCACAAAATATTCTAATCCACTCAATGTTCTGTGTACATGAAGCAATATGTTCTCATTTGCCATCTATACACTTTTCTTACTTGTCACAGCTGAGTAGATTAGTAGAAATTTGTATCCTAAGCTCTCACACTAGAGAACTTTGTATCATTTTTCACACACCCTGGTCACCTGTTATGTTATTCCTAACTAAATAAGCTCCATCACAAACTTGTATAAAACACAGGTAACATAGACAGGTTTAGTTATTCCAATGAGACATATATATATATTTTTTTTTAGAGGCAGAGAGTACGTGATATTTAAAAGATAAATGAACACTTAAATATCAATTGAAGGGTTCCTTAAAATATTAGCTTGCCATAGAATAAGAGCGCATTGCTGCTATGTTAATGATAAAGCAAATCACAGTATTAGTACCCTTTTTTCTTCATAGGCTGGATCCATTTCATTGACTTCCTTTGATTTATTAGGAGAGTCATGGTCTTCATTTTCAGCCTCACCCTCCTATGTGGAAAAATGCACAATTAACATTTTACCAACCAAAAGTGCTTTAATGATTTGAAAGGCTGTGAGAGGTACGCTTAGAAAGTCAGTTATTTCCAACAGCTGCTATTGCGTCAAAACTGACAACAAAAAGGTTTGTAATATTTTGCCTCAATTTGCTAACTTGTGACAAAGTAAAAAAAAAAAAACCAACACTTCCTAGCAGCTGGGAAAATGACATTTAAGTAGAGCAGAACAAAATGTACTGCTTTGGTTGCATTATTTTGGATTTGGGTTGTGGGGGTTCAAAAAAAATGTAATCACTTCCATAATGGAGTTCAGTTCAGGTCCTTGAAACATGGGGCAAAAGCCAAAAATTATTACTCTTAAATCCAGAAGAGTTTTCTGAGTTGCTGCACACATTTCTTGCTGTTCATGAATTGTGCAAATCTTGAATGCAGTAAGGACGACGTCAAACGAGTTACTATTTGATCCCATATCCACGGAAATGGCAATTTGAACACCGTTATGCACATTAAAACAGTGCAAGTGACCAGGGTATAGGTAGCTGAAGTTTAGCCAAAACCTTGACATCCAAGTCGCTCCTTAAAATTGGCCCAAATATGTGAGCACATTCATTTTCGGGTAGTTAAAAAAAAAAAAAAAAAAAATGTAATCTATACATTGTGCAAACGAAGTTAGCTTAAGAATACTAACTGTAAGCTTGCTTCTCCATTCAAAAGGTGGTTGCTGAAGTTGCACTGCATGCACAAATGATCTACAGACAAATTTGCAGGGGTTTTTTCCAACCGCACACGGAAAAATTTGCCTAACTCATGCATCATTGTGACTAGTAAATGCATCCTGGCACCTGGGAATTCAATTGCCTAGTTGGCTGAGTAACATCACCAGTTATGTGAAGATATAAATTAAAAATCCTGAAACATGCTGGTACCTGTTAGATGATGGTATGTAACTATGGCAAAAATGCACAATCATTCTAAATACAGATATTTCGCATTGCAGATCCAAAGAATTTCCTAGTCATGGATATGACCATCACTTAAGTTTAATGAGACGAATATCAAACACTGATGTTCTAGGTTTACTTTTGCATATCGATCTTGAGTTATCATCTAGTCCATTGATTTTTGTTTTTGCCATAGAATATATAAGGTTTTCAGATCTTCAGACATCACTAAACAACCACACAATTAATGTTTTCTGCAACTCCCTGCAGGAATCATGGCAAAAAGACAAGGATGAAAATTGCAAATAAGAAAACACCCTTTTTGGGTGTATTTACATGCATTTTGCCTGGTGAACATGAGATATGTTCCAGGATGATTGTAAGATGAAAAAATATCCAGTTCCAATATTTCCATGTTGAAGCTTAGATGACCCATGTTAATTTAAATTTTCTTGTATATGCACCAGTGGGAGTTAGAACAAGTATTGTTCTGTCCATTTCAATATACTGTATGCAGTGTCATTTTTTTTAAGACATTGCTTTGTACTTTAAGATTTACAAAAGTATTTCAGGGTGTGGAACATCACAAAAAAAAAAAACAACCTGTATGTAGCAAAATACGTAGTTTCCTCTACACGAGGAACAGCAGCCATAGCAGAACAGAACCATACCCACATAGTATGTGGTGGTTTATGATTTTTTAGACCAACTGAAGAACAATCCAGTTTGAAGCTAAACAGAGGTGCACCACAGGTGGTGTTTTTTTTCCCCCTTTTAAATTTTTCACTCCAGTTAACCCTTCAATGTCCCTTAATGGGGTGAGCGAATGACCAGCTGTCACTTTCCACTTTTAAGGGACACACTAAGAAACAACCACTACAGCTCATGTGTCAGCTGATTTACTCAATGTCACACAAAAATAAATGGGGGAAACCAGGAACTATGAAGCCTTGGAGTCAAAACTCAAATTGTTTAACCCAAGGGGATGGTGCTTTTAGCCAAACAGCTATATAAAACTACTACAAAAGCAGTGTAGTGGTCATGATGTTTAAACTCACACTTTAAGAAGATGGAGCTATGGCCAGAAGCATTCTCACTAGTAGATGGATTCAGAGAGGAGAGAGATAAGCAACCTGGAACTATTCCTGGGCTGGTTGATTGACAGGCCGTCTTTGGACTTCCATGGAAGTTGCTGTCAAGGCCTACTCTCTAATGAAGAGTGGGTTTAAGGTGTTCATAAAAAGTGTAAAAAGTGTTTTGATGCTTAAACTTTAATATCCAAAACTAAACCAGACACAACATTGGAGAAATAAATATAGACAGATATCACAAATCGGAGGGTGGTCAATAAGACGCTACAACAAAGATCACTATAAAAACTAGCATACTTGTGTGTAGTGTGAAAATGCACTACCACAGCAGATGTCTTCTAAAAAAAAACAAAACAAAAAAACAGCAATCTTCTTTAAATTCGAAGTGTGTAGCCTTACTGAAAACAAAAAATTAATTACAAAGCATGGTTGAATAAATATATAATGAAAGTGATAAACATCTTATTTGAGAACATACTTCAGCAGCAGAATGTTTTGTTTGCACACAAATTACACTGAATTAATTCTTGTTAAGACGGTAGATTGAACTAGCAATTGAGAAGTGGAATCAAAACATTTGATTCTTCTTAACCACATTCACATCACAAAGCAATGCTGGTGATGAGCATATCCTTTCCCACAAGGATTCTTTGAACAAAAGGTTGCTTGGGCATACTCTTGCCTCCTCAGCTAACAAAGAAAGAGGCCTATACAGTAATGAGATGAGCAATAACAGTTACCACGCCTGATTGGAAAGAGCTAATAAGACCATCAGATGCTCTGCACCTCTTCCTGTCATTCACCCATCTTTCTCAACACTCTTTTAGAGTTCTACATTAAAACTTAAATTGTTGGGAATTCACATTAAATTTCGAGTTTTAGCCAAAAAACAGTCGATCAGAAAACAGGGCCAACTTGTAGAATATTTCCAATTCGGCTACTTTGTGTTTTGCCTAAAAACTTGACAGACATTTAAAGTGAATTCAAAATGATTTTCAAGTCACAATTTAGTGACTAGATTGTAGCCTTTATTACAGGAAATGAGGAAAGTGTAACGAAGCCGAATTACGATCAAACAAAAGTTAGGTCTTTGAAAGTTTGGAAAGCACTCTGTAGGAAACAAGGTCACACAATGAAGGCAGAGCCGCAGTTACAGCACTCACACCGTGCAGGAGGAAGGGATTAGAGAGGTCCCTGGGGCTGAGTGCAGCCCCCCGTGCCAGGCCTGTGTGGGGGGGGGAACATGTTAGATTATATTATACATTACACAACACAGGGTCCACGCCTGACTGAACCCAGTCTCACCTCGATCACGTCCTCCTTGGACTCGGCTTGGTCTCCCGCCATCCCCGGGCAGTCCGCGGCCACCTCCATCAAGCCCGCCTTCTCCTCCTCATGTTTTTCTTTCGGCTTTTCGCTGGCTCCCGAGTCGAGCTGCGGCTGCTCTTCCTCCAGCTGAGGCGGTTGATGCTCGCTGGTTTCCTCAGACATGACTCCGGCCCTCCCTCCGATTCACACCGCCTACAAACCGACTCGAGCAGTGAAGTCGCCGGATGGCACACACCGAGCTGCGGGCGAGGCGGCAAAACACTCACTCACTGGAGTACCACGCGCCAGTGGCGGGAGTCTGGACAAGGAGAGAGTGTGATGCTGCGAGAGGGGGCGCGAGGGAAAGAGCGCGCGCTCACGACTTGCCGGCTTTTTTCCTTCTTCTTGGCTCGTTCTTCGACAGGCACTCGCGCGCGCACAAGAGTGTGAAAGAAAAACAGAGGTCTCGCGAGATTTCATTCAAGTCGTGGCGGTTGGGCCTGCTTCGAATCTATCCTGTGCAACGTCGGAGTCTTATTTTTATTTTTTGTGTGTGTCTGTCCCCCGTGGTGACTGCGTGTATCGAATCAACTTTATTTCATACGTAATCAGAACACTTTGCGCATGACACAAGGCCACTGGTATTAGACTTGTCGGGTTTAATCTTCCCTTCTGACGTCACTCAGAAACAACCAGACCTGCTGACGGTTCCCGAGCAGCGCGCGCCCTAACTCCCACGGCCGGGCACGCGCATCCAAACAGTGCCAAGTACTGTAGATTGAATGAGAGGCGGGAACTGAGAAGTAGTGACGTCAGCTGCAAATCTCCCGGTGAACCAGATATCGCGAGAGTAGTTGAATTCTGGCCTTTTTTTTTTTTTTTTCCTAGTAAATTGGCTGGTGCTTGTCTATTGTCTAACACACTTGCTGAGGGAGAAAGGAGGGTTTATTAACCCCTTAAGGACTGGACTGTTTTTGCGATGTTGTACATTTGCGACCAGGCATATTTTTACACTTTTGTGGTGTTTGTGTTTGGCTGTAATTTTCCGCTTTCTCATTTACTGTTCCCATACAAATTATATATTGTTTTTTTCAGGACAAAAGGGGCTTTCTTTACATACCATTAATTATATAATCTCATGTATTTTAATTTAAAAAAAATACAAAAATCTGATGAAAAATTGAAAAAAATACATGTTTTTTGACTTTTACTTGAAAAATCTTTTACTCATCTACAAAAGCGAATGAAAAAACTGCTAAATAGATTCAAAATTTTGTCCTGAGTTTAAAAATACCTAGTGTTTACGTGCTTTTTTGCTTTTTTTTGCATGTTATAGGGCTATAGGTACAAGTAGGATATTGCGGTTTCAAAACATACATTTTTAAAATTTATCAATAGTGACATTGTAACACTATTATCTGTCATAAATCTCTGAATAACACCCCACATGTACATATTTTTTTTAAAGTAGACAACCCAGGGTATTCAATATGGGGTATGTCCAGTCTTTTTTAGTAGCCACTTAGTCGAAAACACTGGCCAAAGTAAGCATTCATATTTGTTTGTGTGTGAAAAAAGTAAAAAAACTAAATTGAACGCTAATTTTGGCCAGTGTTTGTGACCAAGTGGTTACTAAAAAAGACTGGACATACCCCATTTGCAATACCTTGGGTTGTCTTCTTTTGCAAATGGTATGCCATCATGGGGGTAATTCTCATTCCTGGGCTACCATACGCTCTCAAAGGCAACGTAACCAACCTGGCCATTTTCAATGTAAAAATATTTGACCCATATATTTGACCTTGTAACTTTCAAAAATGCTATAAAACCTGTACATGGGGGGTACTGTTTTACTCTGGAGACATCGCTGAACACAAATATTAGTGTTTAAAAACTGGAAAACGTATCACAACAATTATATCATCAGTAAAAGTGCTGTTTGTGTGTGAAAAATGCAAAAAAAGTAACTTTCACTGACAATATCATCGCTGTGATATGTTTTACTGTTTTGAATCACTAATATTTGTGTTCAGCGAAGTCTCCCGAGTAAAACAGTACCCCCCATGTACAGGTTTTAGGGTGTCGTAGAACGTTACAGGGTAAAATACAGTGCTAGCAAATTAAATTCTCTGGAATTTTGGCCTGGGTTGGCAGGCAGGTCCCTCAAATTGCAATCAATAAAATTACTGAATTATGTAAAAATATTACATAAATACATACGTAGAATTTAAATATATATGCATATTTATATATTTGAAGTCTACGTGTATATTTATATAATTATTTATGTAATTTTGTATATGGACGTATGTATATTTCGTATTATTTTTATTTATTTTTATATACATAGATATATATATACAAATTCATTCTAAGTGTATTTTGATATAAATATATATATATTAATTTTTTAAAAATACAGTTAGAATAAATTTCATATAGCTATATAATTTTTTTAAATTTTTTATTATTATTTAAAAAAAATTATTTAATTTAAATTACTTATTATTTTATTTTTATAATATATATATATACAATATATATAGTTATATATGTATATATATATATATATATCATTTGTATTTAATTATAAGTGTATTTTTATATTAATATAAGTACATATTAATATAAAAATACACTTAGTATGGCATTATATATATGATATATAGACATATATTATATAAATATAATATATGTCTATATATCATATATACACATATATAATTTTTTTTATTTTTTATTAACATTAACCTTTATTTTATTTTTTGATTTTACACTAGCAGGGAGACTGCCTGTCAACACAGACAGTCCCCCTGCATGCAGACATATGGACACCTATTGTGACCATGTGATCGCTATGTTGAGCGATCACATGGCCACAGGGGTCCTAATCCAGTGTGGGGAGACTGTCTGGGCTGCAGGCAGTCTCCCCACAACCGGAGCCACGCTGATCGCCGCCGGGGGAACGACGGCGATCAGGTAAGTAGCTCAGACCGTTAGGACGGTTCAGGACCGTCATCGGTCGGCAACGCAAAAATGCCGATGATGGTCCTGAACCGTCCTGGGTCGGGAAGGGGTTAAAGGATCATGAGGAACACTATCAAAGTTGTTCACTAAAATGAGAATTCAAAGTGAATTTCAAAGGTCAAAGTTGCTGAAGCAGAAAATTCTCTAAATCAGAGATGCTTTCAGTTTGGCTACTCTGACCTTAAAATTGAAATTTATTTTGAATAAGCCAGTATAGCTTTAGGAATGTAAATACAAGCCTGTATTCCTAACACTGCAGTGTTCTAATTATTTAAATTCACCCCTCACAAATCTAAATTAAAAACTGGGATAAAGAGTATATATTTTATATAGTATATTAGAGGGTAGTAGATAGGCGCCGCCCGTAATTAGTGATGTCGCGAACCCGAAATTTTCGGTTCGCGAACGGCGAACGCGAACTTCCGCAAATGTTCGCGAACCGGCGAACCGCCCGAAACGCCATTTACTTCAATGGGGAGGCGAATTTTAAAACACACAGGGACTCTTTCTGGCCACAATAGGGATGGAAAAGTTGTTTCAAGGGGACTAACACCTGGACTGTGGCATGCCGGAGGGGGATCCATGGCAAAACTCCCATGGAAAATTACACAGTTGATACAGAGTCTGGTTTAATCCATAAAGGGCAGAAATCACCTAACATTCCTAAATCACAATCAA